GCCAAAAAAAAAGTAAAGAAAAGAAAAACACTGATAGAAAATATGCGAAACGAGCGCGTGTTTGCCTTTATCTCGAATCGTTTAAATAATAAAATCGTTTGAACCGAAGAGCGCATAGCAAAACCGCTTTCAATATTGGTTAGATGAGAGCGAAAGATGTGAAGTGGTGTTGTGTGGGTATTAGTAAATGATCATTAGTATGGAATAATGTACGTGTTTCGTGTGTGTCGTCCGTTCGAGTTCAGTTCATTTGCATATTGTATCGCTTTGTTGTATATACAATATATATAGACATACCGTATGTAGACAACGGCGATGATTTATTTAAATTAAACAATCGTCCACATGCAAATACAAATGCTGATGATCATTATTAATACGCGATTACTATATACGCCGCTAAAGGTATTCATAAAATTGGGCACATAAAATTAAATGCTTCACACAACTACACATGCACTCATACAAACAGGCACACGCATACTGATCTACAAAGAAAAACGAACGGTTGTAATCTGAACACATGTTTACGGGCCCTGGTCATAGTGAGCTTGGGTCAAATGAGATTACAATCGTATAATGAAATTTATAAAATGTTTTCATCATCACCTGCTTTTTGTTTTGGTTCCAGCTGAAACAATTTGAATGTGCCTACCACACACACACGAAAACACACATAACATTATATATATATATATATATATATATGCAAACGATCAAACCATTTCTATTTCGAATATGTTTTCATTTCCGTAATTTACTGGACGCCGATCAGAAGGTGGCCTTTTTAATTAAAAACAATCCACACACTCACACATTGGACGAGAATATAAGCCACGATTGTTCCACTCAATTTCAAATAAATCGGATTTTCATAATTTCCTCGGCTGTTTGAACAGGGCCTAATTAGAATTTATTGAAATCTAACTAATCAATGGCTGTATCGAATAGCTCGAAGCCCACTGAAATGTCATTAGTTCGAATTCGATGCGATTTGTTGTTGCTTTTCGTGTGTTTTTTTTTCGCTTCGAGATTTTTCCATTGATAAATTGCATTTCTATTTAATGTCTAGAGATTAAAAATCCAAATCAAATGGCTGACGCATGTGTGAGTTATTTTTATAAGCTCTCCCTGGGACAGACTTGATAAATGGCACATTCAAACAAGAAGATAATTGAATGTTCGAGAATGAAAACGCAACTTCTATTCACAACACATATAAGTGAAACAAAAATAAAAAATTTATTGAAATGAAACGACAAAATCAAATTTTTTCAAAGTGTAACATCGGTATGTAGTAAGTGTAACAACATACCGATGTTACACTTTAAAAAAATCTTTTTTGTTGTTACACTTTGAAAAAATTCGATTTTGTCGTTTCATTTCAATAAATTTTTTATTTTTGTTTCACTTATATGTGTTGTGAATAGAAGTTGCGTTTTCATTCTCGGACATTCAATTAGAAAGCAATTGAAACAATATGAAGCAATGAAATGTTCACGAGTGAGTCAGACGAAACAAAAAAGACAATCAAAATATTCTTGAAAGGACAAATCGAATGGTTTTTACACGGCTGTCATGAATATAATCGGAAATTGCCACAAGGCGCATGCACATTGCAAAACTGCAATTGCTTGTTTTGCGTCGAGAGGCTGGCTCGTGTTCCAGAGATGTTTTTTTTTCGCTTCGAGCGACTCGTCACAATTTTGAACGGCGCTCGTGCAAGCGAAATTTATGCATTTTGAAGACGCATCTAATCAGAATACAAACACAGAGAACATCGTGTTTACTTGCATTCGATGCATACGTGTGAACCGCTTATTTTCGTACGTTATTATGGATAATTGACACACACAGTGCAATAGCACAAATAAACAAACAAATCAAATGAATAGTAATGAAATCATCTGATTGAACGAAAACACGTTCACACACATACACGGGCACACCATTTTCAGCAAACAAACAAACCAACAAATCAATCGGATTCGGTATTGTCGTACATAGTCAACACGAAATGCATCAGTAGCTGCAAACTCAAAATGAGCGCGCAATTTGGCTTTTGTGTGCTTTTGTCGATGCACATTGTTTCATTTAGGCGAAATGATGGCTTTGTGATTGTCTGTGCGCGCACACGATATTGGGTGGTGTTCTGATTTAACAATGATAAATCATACACGGTGCTTAATGGCACACTCAGTGTGTGGGAGCTAATGAGACACGTGTATGATTGTGATTATTTTTAGACATTTTCAACCGATTCGGTGTTTTATTTGGCGAATGAAAAAGAAATCGAAGAGATTGGGTTGTATTATTATATGCGACGGAACTGGTTTTTTGCCACACTTCAACCACACGCAGATCATCGGTCGGTCATGCCGTCGTCGTCGTCGTCGTCGTCGTCATCGTCATTTTCATTCTGAAATCGCCACGGCCGTTTCACACCGTATCTGCATTATCAAAATACACGAAAATAGCCAAATTATTTTATAATGTTTTGATCTTGCGGAAGTTTATGCGTGCAATTTTATTTAAAACCTGCCCGTTCGATGCTGAGATTCGTACGAATAGAACGGTCCGAATGATGAACAATTTAAACATAGATACCAGAAACGATAGTCAGCGTCAAACAAAACTGAATCAAGAGTGGTGCGCGTTCTCATTCGTAGTACGACACATTCTCGAAGAACGATTATAAATGTTTTGTTTCACATTCTTCTTCTGTTTTTTTTTCTCGTTTCACTCTCTCGATTGTGAGTGCGCTCTTTTGTTATTTATTCATTTTTGCACGCTTCTTCTTTGCTGCGTTGAAAATTATCACATGTAGTGTGTACTTTGCGTTAAAAATATTGAAAGTGAAAATTGGGTCAATTGCTGCCTTTTTTAGCTTCTTAATCTTTTTTTTTTTTTTAATTTTCGGTGTATTGTTTCTGCGGTGTGTAATATTTCTTTCTGTATTCTTTGGGTGTCTATTTTAATAGGATAAGCGCTCAATTTGCTTATTGGAGCTGAACAAATCGAGGCGCTGATAATCGAGAGCACAAACGCTTTCATTGTGTAATCAAACAAAATTTCGATCGATTCGTATCAGACGAATAGTTGTACTGAATTTTTTTTTATAGACTATATGTTAAAAGCAAAAAGTAACGAGCAAACGAAACCTAACAAATTAGAAGCAAAAAAAACGGTCGTAATAATATTTTAGTGCCGACGATAAGATAAGCAATAGAGTAAACTCGAAAAGGGGAATGAAACGAGATTGTGTCTATTTAAACACAACAGATGAATGCGAAAACTAATTTACACGTGGAATCGAACAACGCCAGATAGGATATTTATATATATATTTATAGGTTCATGCAATAAATACACATTGGAGCAAAGTCCTTGACGTGAGTTGAGTTAAGTTGAACGAGAGTGAGAGAGAAAAAAAGCACAAATTCTTTGCATGCAAATTTTTCGAAAGAAAAAAAAATCGAATTTTGCAGTGTAATGAACTCTCTTGCTCGCTGTTTGGTTAAGTGAATATTTATACCGACGTTTACTGTAGCCATATATATCATTGAGATGCCATCGTTTAGCATTTTCAAAGTGAAATCGCCACTCACTCCATTTCTCTCGAAAGAAGCATAAAAATCTGAACTTTTTTTTATCGTTGTCAAAGTGAATTTTGTTCATTAACCCTTTGTTTTTCTTTAATAATTGCCATTTCAAGCCAATTGTTTAATCATTTTATCCGTTTTTCTTTTCTTTCTCTCCACCATTTTCTCTCTCCATTTTATGTGCGTGATAAATAAAAAAAATGTTTCTCGATCACACATTAAATGTATTATTGGTCAAACTGAATATGAATGTTGGAAAATGGTCGATGTTCTTTGTGTGTGATTCTCGTGCACAGAAGACGTTGTCGCCTTGCATCATCAGTTCATCACATGTATGTGCATTTCAATCAGAAAATTAAGCAAACATTCATTGCCATTTATAAATGTGGTAAGTCATTTACTAATTCAAAAAAAGATCAAGAATTAAAAAAAAAAACAAAAGAAAATTCGAAAATTTATTCACTTCATTCACTTCTATTTATTTCACTTCCGTTTCACATTCGAAATTCGATTGTAGATTGTTTTCCCATTGTTTTTTCTATTGCTCTTTTTTGGTAGAATGAAGCATTGCATGATGTTTCATCCGTTTAAATGTTAACTTTTTATGCACACACATACTTGGATTGGAACAACAAACGAAAAGGATAGTTTTTGTTCACTGTTTATACTTCGGTCGATGTTTATATAAGTGCTTTACTTTGTGTATATAAGTTTTAAGGATTCTAAGCACTTAAAAAGCTGAACAGAACAGAACAGAACAATAGCTTTTGTACAATGGTATATGATGTGAATGTGCTTTATTAATACTAGCTAATAAAAATTAACTTGAGTTCTTGTATTCAGAATAACTCTTCGGTATATGTTCGAGTGCCTTCGTCCGATCGAAATGAGCGCAACTTCCATGAGAACTCATAAACTGGAATTTCATTTAATAATAATATTCCGAAGAACCAGCACAAACCGGTATTAATAATAAATTAAGACCAAGCGTTTCACGCTATCAACAATGGAACATATTTGTCATAATTCTCTCTAAATTTAGCATATAAAGGATTAAAAGTTGATAACATTTATGTCACATAAGCACGAAAAATGTTTCTGTTGTTGTTCGCACCTTTTGCTTGAAAAAAAACGTGTTTTTTTTCTTACTTCTCCTTTTCCAAAGTCACGTAATTGTTTATGACCATTGTTTTCACAATTCAACTCAGAACGTACACGCACAAATGAAGAGTATGTATTCGAAAGCTACAGTAATAGACGTTTGATTCGAGCTGGGTAACCTTGAGTTATTGCTTTGTGGTTTCCTTAGTAATTCTATGTTTAAAGGGATTGTGCAAATTGTACGATGTAAATATATATATATATATATATATCTAAAGAAAAACACAAAAATTTGCCTAGTTTATTTATAACATTTAAATTGTATTCATTGTGTTGTGTGGATTAAATTGGCATTAAGCGCCAAACGATTTGTTTTTATGTAAAAGCGTGAGCATTTCTATGTGAAAAAATAAATAAATATCCAGTTGAAGAACAAATTGCCATTTGCAAAGCGGGCGCACGCGAAGTGAAGCCCAAGCATTCGATGGTGTACACGTTTATTGAATAAAAAAAAAGAAGAAATAAGTTTATGCTAATTAAACAAAAAATTGAGTGGCAGTTGGAGCCAAGGTTCTATCGTCAAAATATGCGGGAAAATGCGTTCAACAAACATTAAAATCGGTTCAATATGTTGTGGTAAATGACAGAGTGATGAGGCAAAGTCGATCGATTTGCCATGTGTTCAATGTTTTGGTTTCGATATACCCTTTTCCCTGTTCTTTCAAGTGCTATTCAACAACATCATTTTACGCAACATCACGCATTCATGAAACGCGTTCTTTTTTTAAAACCAAAATTCAAGTAATACCATTCACAAGCTACCACTCATGGAGCCGCTTTTCATCGACGCTGCCCACGCATAAAATGTATCAAATTAATTTTCATTCGATTTATAATCGTCCTCCGATTTTCAATCAATTATATCGTCCATGCCAATTATCTAACGCCTTCGTAGATTTCAAAGAATTTAGTTGTTTTTTTTTTCGGTTTGATTTCTTGTCAATATTTATAAATTTTCATCTGGGCAAATGTCTGGCGTCGAAAGATTTCCACGGATTTGAAGTAAAAGAAAAACTTTTGACGGCCAAACAGTATGGGCTTTATAAAACAGACTAAATATATAAATCAGAAAACATTCACAATCTGTACTACAAACCCATGCATAATTTTATATACAGTCGTTGTTATTATTTTGAAGATGCGCGTATAAGTTGTGTTGATCCTTCGAAGATTATCGAACCTTCCATTTTATTCCCAATTATTATTCGATGTTTCATGCTGGGACAAATGTTTATTTGGATCGTAGTCCGTGAATTTCACTGCTTGTTGATAGAACAGCTCAAAAATTTCAGCCACTGAAAAGCTTCCGAACAAATCTGCAAGCAAATCTGTCAATATTTTTCCGAAAAAAGCGACACACACACACCAATATGTATATTACGTAGATACATGGGTGAATAATGATATGACAGATTGAGAGTGAGATCTCTTCTTTTCCGTCTGTGTGTATTTTCAAGCATCATCGATGTGAAAAGCTTCAGTGTTTACCACTTAATTTGTTGATTCGCTCCCCTTGAGTGTTTGCGCATACCTAATGATTCTGACGCGGGAAGAAAGTGGAATGAAGAGAAAAAAAAAGTTTTTGTGTCATGTCGGTTAATTGATGTTCGTTCTGGCTTTTGAAGTCACTTAATTCATTGACATCAATACTTGAAGCTTGGGCACTTCAATTGAGACATCGTCAACACACTCACAGACTGCAAAGCAAACGAAAGAGCGGGAGCGAAAAGAGTGAATGCAAATTAAAGCGATTCGCATACAATCAAAGTGAATTGCTATCAAACTAATAATAAGTGACAAATGGTCGGTCTATAAAAACAAAAACAACACACACACACACACACAATCACTGTACAGGACAGGACAGGAATGAGGGGAGCGAGAGAGTGAAAGGGAATAAAAATAGCGCATTTTTGAGTTTGAGTTGATTATTTTTTTTATGAAAGTCGAATAATATCAGAAGCATTCGTCAAAACATGGATAACAAACATAGCGCAAACGACACAAACAAATCATTTATATATTTATTTATATATTAACATGCGCGCATACACAGAGCACAATCTCATCAATATGGCGTGAGTCGAGCCTCTCTTTTTTTTCTCAATATTATTATGAGTCAATGCATGCAATGTTTGTTGCCCCTTCGTGGTTATGTACTGATTTTGTTATTCTCTAAATTTAATCGGCACCAAGCTGCTCGAGACGTTCGTCTATATACATACATGACTTTTGGGTTGTTTTTCTACATAGAGTGGTTGACGTCACAACAGCAGCAGCAACAGCAGCAGCAGCAGCGTTAGTGCCCTGAGAGAGAGAGAGAGCTCAAGTGAATGTCAAAGCAATTCTGAAGGCATTTTGATATGGCATTTCACTCGGAGAGTGACATATGATCATTTATAGAATTTGGATTGAATGTGTTCTCACTCCAAAACAACCGAACTGTTGTTTACGCGCAACACACGAAAAAAAACAATAACCACAAAAATGCGCTCTCGCACACACATTTCTTATTTCGGGGGCATTATTTACTCACACAAATTTTTTCCCCATCGAATTGCATTCCAACCAATAATAATGATGAAAGCGAACAAAATAAAAATAAATGATAAACAATTTCAACTTTTCAAATTCGGCAAACAAATAAATGACACATCATTGCTGCCGCTGTTGCTGTTAACAAAAAATATCACACAACAAAAAGGATTTATACAAACAACAGCACATGTTCATCACTCGAGCTATATTTTACCATTTCTTTTATGGGAACTTTATCGTTCGCTACCATACTGAGCCAATCAGCATTCATCATCCGAATGGCAAAATATTCGAGAGAGAAAATGAGGCAACTTCAACTAAAAATATACACATAAACAAAACCATCCTATTCCATCTATTGCTTGCTGTGCTTTTTGGACGAGCATTGGCTTTGATTGTGATTTGGAAAATTATGAGCCGCATTGGACGGGAGAAAAGATGGAATTTCCAAATGTCGGGGTTCAAAATCCGAATCGCGCCGTACTCTTTGAAAACTGGTGGAACGATTCAACTTGAAATATTTACGACTCGAGATTTGTGTTATTTGCGATTTCTTTTCTAGAAACATGTGAGCGTGACACGCGAAACCAACCAACACAATCGCATCCAATTGATTTTTATCGCAGGAACGAATATAAACAGGATTCGGAGAATATATTCGAATGAAGAAAAACAAAACTTCAGCTTAATTTAGATTTTTTTTTTTGTTTTGTTAGATTTATCGACAAGTCTATTTACTTTTTTTTCAAGAAATTTCGTGTGTGATAAGATTTCGTAAATGTTGTTATTATCGTACAACCGCTTTGCGAATGTGAATTTCTTTTATCGGCAACCGATGATAAGCACATACATATTCAAACCGATCATATGCATATATAATACATATAAATTCAGTGGCTATAAATGTGCTAATAAACTGGCTCTTGAATGTGTACATTCTCGAAATTCGACACTTTTAGCGTATTTACCTCCACCCCCCCCCCCCCTCGAGAATGGAATTAAAAGCCAATCAAGACGTCTTTTAAATGAGCGGCCATCGATAGGCAATCACGTTCAAATTGCAATCAAATTCTCACAATAAATAACCTTGTTGATTGGCTGCAATTACATTAGCACTGAGCATTATTTTGCGCTGAATCATTCTAACTGAATAAATATTAAATTGTTTATAAAAGTCGCTGTTTTTTTTTAAATGCTAAATTTGTTTATTAACAAAACTTGGCATTCGATTGAGTGTACAGTGCACACTGTGTATGAATGGCAAACGTCGAAAGTATGTGAAAATATTTGAAGAGTTTATTCACAAATCGTACTCATTCTTGGGATAATCTCAAAAATGAAATCATTGAGATGAAATTGCCTTTGCGTCAACTGAAACCGTTTGCGTTATCGTCCCCTAAGGGAATCGATGAAGAATCTCATCATTACACAGCATTTGCCGTACATTGATTACTTGTACAATGTTTGTTGGTGTCTTTGAAAAATGCACACGCCTTCTTCTCCATCCGTACCGTTGCCTAAAACCCATTCCACTGCCACACTCAAGCTCACTGTATATGAATCGAGACACAAATCGCTGTAAGCCGTTACACGCGTCTAACGTTTTGCTCCCATGAATTTCAACAATGAATTGCATTTTTGCGCATCAAGCTCTCTTTCACTGTGTTTGTTTCGCTCTTCATGTGTGTAGCCATGGCCTGTCAATATCACCCATATTCATTTTGTTGTGTCAATCGAAATTGAACCGATAAACGAGTTAAAGGACACACATCCGAACTCAAGCCGATTTATTCTCTTGATGGCGTCTATTGCAATTGCAGTTACAGTCGATTTGTATTATTACAGTAATGTTGACTTCACGACGCCAATAATTGTTGTTGTTATTGCAAAGACGCGTCGAATTCTACACGTTTTCGTCTTTGTTTTGGTGGTAAGAGTGGTTGACCTTGAATTCTTGTTTTCAGCAGCCTGAACACGTGCTCAGATTTCTTTCGGTGTGTGTTGTTTTGCACTCGCTCTAGCTTGTCCGGCCCGAGTTTGCATTTTACAAATCGATTTTTCTAAGTTTTTTTGTTTTGCATTTGTTTCAAACAAATTACTATCGAGGCACATGTTTGAGCGGTTTATCTGATAGAAGCCACATGCTTGGGTCTAAGATTTCATGACAATTTGCAACACAAATTATCGTACCTGATTTATAGGCTTTCATTCGGTATGTAAGTGGATTCAACGAACAGAGACAGGCATTACAGAGTGTAATGGCATGTGCTGTGGGAATATTGTCGTTTTTGCTTTCGTTTTCAAGTAATTCACAATCCTCTCTTTCGACATTTGATATGAGCAAGTAATAGAATCCCCATTGTTTTTCCCCGCACCAAATTACATTCATTTTCGGTGGCACTTATCTCATTTCGGTGCAAACGAATCTTATCGATTCGCTTTTCGCTGTTCCTCCTCTTGAAAATACAATAATTTCGGCAGGTGTTCCGTCATTTAATCGGCAATATCTTATCATTATGGTTGATACAATTGAATGGAAACACGTGAGAAATGTTCAAGGGCCATTCCATATTTCATTAAATTCGGAAATTCTGTCATTTATTCTCATTTCTAATATCCTTCCACCCGTAAGCACATACACCACCATTTGATTGCTCGTTGGCTTGTCCATCAAATTACAGTCCAATATGAGGAATAACGCTCGCTTCGATGCGGTGGAGCAGAGACAAGTAGCGGTAAATAGTTGGAAAAAAGTATCATTGGTTTTCCCTCGAAAACATTTAACTTTATCCGTGTCCATAAATTCAAGTGCATAAAAGTTTACCAAGAGAAAAAAAAGAGTTGTTAAACAAAGCCTCTGGGAAGAGTAATGTTGAAATGTGATTTGGTACCGTGTTTGACTGTACGTTGGTGAGTTTGTGTTTTGGTTCTTACACAACATGCTGTTGTCGTTTCATTTGCTGTTGTTGTTGTTGCAGTTGTCGACGACGACTGCTGCTTTTGCTGCTGTTTATACATATGTCTTACGATCAAATTTAATGAAATTTGCACACCAACGAACACAGACACATACACACTCACGCTCAAACTATTCGATTTAGATCTTAATATAAATTTTTTACAGAATGCGCCCAATCATTCGATACAAGTTGGCAATGTGTTGGAGTTTGTTTACAAATTTTGTATTGCTATCGTCAACCAGTCAGGCTATGTACTAGATATTCTAGATATGTATATCGTTTGTTTGGCTGCCATATATTTTCTCCGCCAATTCGCAATATTCTGAACATATTGGGTTGGTAAGAATGCGACGGGAATTACATAGGCTATCACACGGTCCCCAGAGCTATTCAAATGACTGTGTGCCAATATATATATATAAGCAAACAACTTTCTGGCTTGTGTACCTTTCCATTAGAATATTTTCTCCTTTTCCATTGCATCCATCTATCGTATAGCTCCATCTATTCGGTTCACTCCACATCAAATGACTCGACGTCATACCACAACACACATAAACACAAACCGCTACTAATAGCGTGTGTCTACACGAACAATCAAGCCAATACATACAAATGGTTTGACCTTGAATTTGACGCTATTATTTGGATATAAGAGATTTTATATCTTCTCTACTTGGCATGTTTTTACATAAAAACACACACAGCCGCCCATTCAGTGATCGAATTGTTTACGTTTTTATGTGTTTCATTTTGCTTTGGTTTTAAGATCAATTCTTCTTTTTATTCTTGCTCTTTTCACCTGGCTGCTTTCTTCGATATTTTTTACCAAAAAAAAGAAACATTATTTTTCGATTGGCAGCCATATCGATTATGGCTTCAATGTTTGCTTGTTTGTTTTGGGTTTTTTTGGGATCTGGCCAAAATATCGATTACTTCAAGCGTTTTTCTGCTGTCTCGTGTTTTATTTTTGATTTTCCAATTTTCGACGAGCCAAGCTCGAAAATGGTTTTATCGATTTTCAATGCCGACGTGGAGGCAAGATTCGCGTCGAAGGGGCACCCAAAAACAGCTTCGATAATAATAAAGATGGAATTTAATGAGTTTCGATTGACGCAGTCGACCAGATCCTGAATTAATATAAACAAACATAACGCATACACGCCAACAGCACCGCACACCGATTGTGCTCCCAACCATCCACTCGCATATCGATGTGTGTTGGAGTCTGTGTGTATGCGAATGTTTTGAAGCGAATGTTTTGTTTGTGATTTTCGTCGATTTACATCAATGAAGCTTTCGAGAGACGCTCAAGCGCACAAGATTCCTACTAACACAGTTACGATCCGACTCACTGTTGTTGTCGTCACTTTTCGTACACACAATAACCAGCTCCGTGTTTCTGTGTTCAGTGTGTTGTGTGTTTGCTTTCGACCGAGTGCCAAGACAGACGTACTGTGGATGGCTTGTGTTTTGATTGCGGCTGTTCGTGTAGTGGTGAACAACACTGAAATAGAAATTAACAAACAAATAGAACGTTACGCTGAATGTTTTGTGCACATCCACTTCGAAAACGTTCTGTTTAGTCGACAAAAAATAGTCCGCGAAGCCGCTATACAATTCGACAATAGGCTCCCCCTCGACAAAATTGAAAGCATTTTTATTTTTCAAGTTCTCGGCCAAACTACAAAATACCGACTATTGCATGCAAAAGCATTTATTAACTGTATTTTATATTGTGTCACTGTGTTTATTGTTGAGTTTATAACATTTATTTCTACTTTTTTCTTCGTGTGTCAGAGACGTGATTAATTCTGAAGCGAATTTTGTGTTGAACGATTTACAAGAGAAGAGAAAAAAAACAGTCAGAAAGCGAAAAAAAAGCAACAGTGAACAATTAATCAAGGTGATTTCTAGCGAATCGCGCTGGGCAAACGGAAACAATAAAAAAAAGTGTATCAAGTTCAAGCGCATGGAAGCAATTTGAGCCGAGTTGTGATCAGTGGCGTCATATCATGGTATTTCAACACACATTTTTTGCTGTCATTTTTTGTTTAAATCGCTGTCCTATCAAGTAGAATTTTTTCCCGAAAAATTTTCTGTTCCGATTCGTCGCCGCCATACTTGATGAATAGCAAATCCGTGTGGCGTTCACACAATGTTACCCGATAGCAACGCTTAATCATATTTTTATTCTCACTCACATTCGGATGGGAAAATTTTCGGGTGCCATATTTAAAGGCGAAAGGAAAAAAACACTCTCCAGATATTTCGTGCATGCACCGAAAGTTTCGATGGAGTCGGCAAAACGCCGACAATATGGTGATGTCGACAAATACCACATACACACATCTTGAGCCAAACACATCGATAGCATCTAGTGTATAAGATAAGTCATCGTCGGAACAAACAAACGAAAAATAAACAAACACACGAGAGAAGAAGTGTAGAATAGAAAACAAAACAGAATTGAGAAAGAGAAAGGGACACAGCTGACGAATGTGAAGCCGGGCTACACAAATCCGCAACAACAGCAATAGAATGTAGAGGCGCGCGCATCAGCGTCTACTTATTCCTTCTCTTTTTTGCGATCACAATTGTAATTCGACTGTCACGCTGTTGCTGGTTTTGTTTTGACATTTCGTTCGATTTATTTTTTCCATTAGTCATGCCAATTATTTAAGCAAATCGACGAAATTTTTCACGTTTAATTTTTGAACAAAACATGCATCACCTTTTGTTTTCATTTCAAATGAAATGAAAAACACTGCAAATACTTGTGTGTGTGTGTGTTTGTGTGTGTATGAGATTGGGCGCTGTATACAATTACAAGCCGATCGATATTATTACTTACCATTGAAAAAGAGTAGAATCACATGAACAGACATCGTGCAAAATGTTTGGCTTTTTTCTGACTCTATTGTGAGAATTGTTTTGTTTCCCTACTGGTTTGCTCAAATGCAAAACACGTTCCAATCAACGTGTCCAAAAGTAATTCGGTTCGCTATTGGTTTGAACCATTTAAATTGCGAGAGCGTGATTCACATGTATCAAGCGTTTCGCCGTTTTCTTCCTCTATGTCTGTTTGTGTGAACGAAAACCAAAAATAATTGAATGATTTTTCAAACTTGACGATTGTGCTTTTTTCTCTCGCAAAACCAAATCCAATTGAAATATTTAGCAAATATTAAATGAGTAAAAGGCGATGTATTGGTGCCCGTTTCCAATCGCCCGCATTGAATCAAAAAGAATGTAAATCTCAAAATAATTGCAATTGTAATTGTAAATGTGTGCTTTATTTTGTTAATTCGAAACGCTCGGCTTTAACACTTCGCTGAGTTCACTTTCGATCGGCTTCAAAAGTTCTGGCATTTTTTTTTGCTCGCCTGTTTTTTTGCTCAAACCGACGAAAAATTGGAGCGAAACATGTTGAGTTGTTGAGAACACTGACGGGCAAACAAGTCATCAAGACTGTGTGGTGTGCGTGTAATTCGATGCTATTTCCAGAAAAGAAATTCCACTCAAGAAGAAGGAAACGAGCATACGAACACCAAAAACAAAGAATATATGCAAAAAAAAGTCTTGACATTGAATTATTCTAATTAATTTTGACCTTGTGCGGGTTGTTCACCATTCGCAAAATGTTTAATTTTAGGCGATTCTCTTCTTTTTTTTTCATACGGACCGCACTTTGGTTTATTTCGCTAATGGTTTTAAATTTCGGAATATTTCCAACCGAAACTGAAGAGCGAAAAGAACGCTTCTTTTGTGCGCGTGTGTGTACACTGTACATACGCCTGTGTGCTCGTTGTCTGGCGAAATGAGTTCGCTGAAAATGGTAAAGCATTTAATGAGTTTTAAATCTAATCTATATCCATTGAATCCGAAACAATAACAGGAGATCCAAAACTACTTGATACTCTTATTGTTAATACATGAGCATAAAAAAAATGCCCAAAAGCCCATAATCTTGGAATCGGCTGAAAATGAAGATGGAAAAGCATGTCATTGATGAATTATTATCGTGGTCGACTCATCATCCTGCTTGTTATCGGCCTATTAAACACAAGTAACAATTGAAGTTGTGTTCACACAACACCAAAATCGACTAAATATTGAGCTTAAAATACATCCCAGTCAAAATGAATCATATTTCTATTTTTGCCGCTTTTTTCATTATCTGTCAATTTTATTGAACTATTCACATACAAAAAAGTAAAAGAGACAATATCGATCGTTGACAAAAACACCACGTTCAAAGCACATCAAAAATATTTAGATAAATGAAAAATACACGATAAGGTACATTAATAAGGCATTGTCATTTTGTGTGAATCGCATTGGTCGTAGTGCAGAGATATTATCAACACAATCGACAACATTGTACCGAACTTACACGTATATTCGTGCTTATAATACGTTATATTGAATTGTGTATGGATTATATCCTGTTGTTTGCCCTCTTCGGGTCACCCTGTTCAGACTGTACAGTACAGTGCACACACCAAGTATATAAGTGTTTGCCGTATTTTTCTCACCATGAAATTTAATCGAATATTTTGGATAGTGTTTTTTTTTCTTCTTCAAATCCTTATATCCTTGGAGCAATAATATGGTGTGATTTCGACATTTTCGTATAGTGAATGACGTGGAGATACACTCCACCTAGATACACTCTTCCATAAATAAGATATGAACATATGAGCAACTTTATATATCAACCAGAAGTTGGAACAGACAGCAGAAACTCCCCATTCGTGTGTTTTTTACACGCTTTCAATTTTCTAAACTCACGGGCAATCTGCTGGAACTTTTCGAAATTCACAGAGCAGATTCGGTGTGAGAATGGGTGGCTAAGTATTCTCGACTTTTTGACAGCGGTAATCATGGTGCGCGCGGATGGACGGAGAAAAAGGCGGAAAATGGCAATAGATTTGGACGCCCATTGTGTTATTAACTAATGTGAGCTGGAAAACATGGTAACATAATTGTGATTCAATGTAATTCACATCACTGAACAGCATGTATATTGCTCATATCGCATTTGATCTCATTTATTCATAGCTTCAGCCAAAGCAACGCCATTTCGCGCGATGATGAATATTCAATGTGGCATTTTTTCTCTCTCGTGTATTTATATAGATTCATCATTCTTTTAATTTATATTTCAACTTTTTTCTTTCGTGTGTGCTGCCACACCACACGATGGATATAATTCGTATATGTGTGCTAATGATTGTGAGATTATCAAGTCTCTTTGTCTTGACAGTGGCAGTGTGTTGTCTGTGTAATGCTGTTGCTTGTACAATTTCAAGGTCAAATTTAAGTATAACCAACTGAATAGCTCTTGTATACATTGTTGAATCAATAGCTATATCATAGCCGCATATACATCGAAATTAATCAGAGAGAGCGCGCGCTGTGTACAGCTGGTCTTGATGTGATGTCTCTCTCTCTCTCTCTCTCTCTCTTTCCTCGTTATTCGCGTTGCGTGAATGCCAATCAAATATTACAGAGTGCGCGCGCGCACAACGCCAATGACAATGCACAACAGTGATGAATACAAAGCCATATGTTTGACGCTCTTAACATGTATTACAATGGATGTGTGCTTACAGCGTTGAAACATATGATCGGTGTTTTCGCTTTTTTTTCTCTCTCTACATTTTCTTACTCCTATACCATTACAATAGAAAAATGTGACTTGTAATTGTGTGCATGCTTTGTATAGATATGTTCCCCAATAATATGCCGAACTTAATTGAATTGGACGCAATGAACTATTGTGTTGTTTGGGCCATTTTTTTCGGTCGATGTGTGTATTATATGTGTTCGGGCGATCAACATTGTGAATCTAGACTCAACTCAGAATCGATTGAGCCCGAAACAAATGATGGATTGACTTGCTGCCACATCAAATAAATTGTGCTGTAATGCTTTGTGTACAATCTATGTAGCGGAGTGTGTGTATCCGTACTTTTAACGCTTTCGATGAATGATTCGATTTTGGGATAAAAGTTCTCTCAGATAGAATTATCTATTATTTACACTCGTGCATTCTTTAGCCTTGTTAAGGGCGACATTTACCGCATTTTTTCATGTTGTTCACTCGTCTCTCGTTCTACCTCCTCCTGCGTGGTGGATCCACTACCATTTTTTTCTTTTTTTATTATATTTTCATTTTTATACGCATGAATGTTTGACAGTTATTTTCCATTTCGATGCCCTGCACCCGTATAAACTTTTCTACAGATGCTCACTTTCTCGTGGCTACTCTTTTTTCTCACTTGTTTTTCAATCTGGACCAATTTTTTCCTTCTCCTTCTCCTTCTTTTTTCCGCTTAACCCTCAACTGCATAAGCCCGCCTTTTGGCGGGCATCATTTAAACACCTGTATAATGTGAATCGTACGGCGGATGACATTGCTTCAAGGAAAATTTTTATTTGTCAATGTTTTTTCTTTATTTTTGTCTTTGGCGTCATTTGTCTATGTCGTACGATTGGTGAGTTATAAACAAAAATGTGCACGAAAACGAAAATTTGACAAAATAAATTATTCGGTTTCCAAATTAGACATATTTTTGACACTTTTAAACAATGGATTTCATTGTTCTCTGACTTATTTCTATCGCATTTCCTGACTAAACCATGGGAAATCTAGGATTATGAATATTTTTTTCGTTATCTATGGCCAAAAATCAACCAAATACCAGTACTCCCAGTCCTAGGAAAAATTCATGCAGTTGAGGGTTAACAGAAATTACCTTACTTTTGACTATAAATTTCAAAGAAATTTTTTAAATTGTTATGTGGATGTTCTTGTCGTGGTTCAGTAGTCATACTCATAGTCATAGCCATGTTTCTAGCAATAAATTTCATTTATCACCGGTTATATTATATCAACTGGTTTGCATTTTTGTATGAGTGCTTTAACATGATATTTTTATTCGCTTTTTCCTGAGAATTCGACACATGACGCCAATTTGAAGTGAGTGACGCGCGACTCTCCTTTGCTCCAAATACTGAATTTGTTTTTTCATCTTTCTCTCTTTTTCGAGTTTATTTTTTTGCTTTCTTCTCTTTTGGCACCACTTCATTGGCGCAAATAAAGAGAGTCATCGTTTGTTTTCCGTATTTTGTTTTCCGAAAAAAGAAACGATTTTTTTTATGTCAGTTCAAAAGGATACATGCATTTCGATTTGTTTGTTGCAAATTTCACGTATTAAAATATTTTTGTTATAATTTTTCCGTAGACAAATTGAATTACGATAATAGACTTGAAATGAAAAGCAAAAAAAAATATTACTTTATGGAACATTCGCTTGCCTTAATAAATCAATTGATAAGTTGCATCTTGTGATGTGTTTCATGTGTTTTTTAATTATTTCCGTTTAAAAATAGAGTTAAACTGCCATTGGCCAGATCAAACGTGAAATTTGGTTATAAAATGGAATGTACCCATTTGATTTTTATTTTTTGAGCAATGAAAATGTTCAGGCAAATGGCAAAAGGAGGAGCGGGCCAAATGTATGAACAGAAAATATGGCTTTAAATTTAGATATGAAGTAAATGAATATTTGTTTACTTTACACGTGTGTAGTCTTTCTTAGTGATTCCACTTTTCTTTATATATCTCTTGCAATTGAAGTAATTACCATAGAATTCGTGATTAGCGTCTCTGTTTGTTTCTAGTAATTTTTCTACCATTTCTACGAATTGAATTTCAATTGGCTAATTTTTAGTTTTTATTTTCTCTCTTCCTCCTTCTCTCTCGGCCGGACAGAATGAATCAACAGAAGCGCTACTACTCTCATAACAACATCGACCATCAACAACAATCATCATCACAACAACAACAGCAACAGCAGCATTATCAACAAATTTATCATCAGCACCAGAATCAAAACCAAGTACCGCATTCGCATTACCAACCACACAACATCTCCGAGCCCATATACTCAAATTCGTTGCCAAGCTATTCGAATATTGCGATCAAATCGGAGGTGCACTCCAACATAAATAATAATCATCAGCCGATTTACCATATGATGGAATCGACGCGTGAAAATCCGATGCTGACACAATCGGTACCAATACCGTGCACCGGCAAAATGCTCGGCGATTTTAGTGATTTCAATTTTGATTTTGACCAATCACAATCACCGCAAATGACACAAGACGGTATCTATATTCCAACATCGGGCACATTGTTCGGTTTACCGAATTCAAATTCGAACTCCAATTCGAATGCAATGTGGAGCATCATCAACGAATCATTGATTACGAAACAAGAGCCATTTCAAATGGACGAAGACGATATATTTCAAGTCGATAAATCGGATCTGTTTCAATCGCCAACGCTGGCCGAACTCAATGGCGACACCACGCTAGAAGATTTGAACATTGAAGATTATAATGATTTGATTTTGCCATCAGAAAACACGGGACTAACACTATTGAATAATGCAGCGACAGTGAATTTGCAAGCGAATTCCTTCAATGATACCTCAACACCACCACAACAATTGCTCCAGTCTCAAACGCAAAACAACATAGCATCGAATCAATTGCAAATGGAACAGCAGCAACAACAACAGAATGACACCATTCTTCTCGGTCAGGGCATTACAATGGGACGCGATGCACTGTTGTACGATGAACAAACGAACATTTCATCGACCAGTCCATACGATATCTATCAGGCAAATACACCAAAAACACTTAATTCAAATGCTGCATTTTCTCCGGACAGTCAAGGCAGTTCCAATTCTCCATTGCTTCATAACTCAATATCGCCGCCGCCATATATGTTGAACAACAATACGATTACACACAACAACAACAATAATAACAACAACAACAACAACAAGTTGCAGTACACAACGTTACAAGACCTACTGAAACAAGAGTCGCCGGATCGTAGTTCAAAGCTTGGTCAATCGGTGCCTGGTCCATCGAACATGACAACCGTGTTGCGAAATCGCCATGAAAACTACCATCAACGCCGTTTGCAATTCGCTCATCAACACTCCGGTGGCAATTCGTGCTTATCCTCATCGGCACCGGCCAATTCATCGGGATGGCATACACAGCAAATGTGGCAACGACGTGAACCACGACAACACTTGCTCTCGACCGGTAGCCTGGCCGAAGCAACTGGTTCAACATCATCTCTCAGCACTGGCGGCGTTGTCAGTCCGGAAGCCAACGATTTCTCACACGATGAAGGCTACGAAGACAGCGACAGCGATCACTACGAGGACTATTCCACTGATGATGGTAAATGTTAAACAAATTTTGTGTTTTTTTTTCCTTTAGAAAAAATTAACGCGAATTTCCGGATCAATTTCTTAGATTCGGGCAATGAAGATACAACAACACCAAAAGGAAGCAAAAAAGAGAGATATTTCTGGCAATACAATGTTCAGGCCAAAGGACCAAAAGGACAACGCTTAGTGATTAAAACTCACGCTGAGGATCCACATTGTCTGAATGAAGTCACCGATCCCGTGTTTAGTCCAAGCTGTTCTGTGCGTGGAATTAAGGTAAAATTGGAGGTTATTAACTTAGATAGAAATCCGCGTGAAATCGATTAATGTTTTTGTTTTCTGTTTTCTCTCGCCCGCTCCCTCTCTCAATTTCGATCGAATTACAGCACAGTGGTAAAGCTCGTAAAGGCGACGGCAATGATCTGACACCAAATCCGCGTAAATTGCAATGCATTGGCAAGGAATTGGATAAATTAGGTCGAACAATCAATCAAATGACATCGGTTAATGAGTCGCCATTCAAGGAACGGCCCAAATTGCGCAAAGAGAAAAATAAATTGGCATCGCGAGCATGCCGTCTCAAGAAGAAGGCACAGCACGAAGCCAATAAAATTAAATTGTATGGACTAGAAACCGAACACAGTAAGTGTGCAATAATAAAAATGGTTAATTTGGAATTTTGCATTGTATCATTGTGATGGGTTTCACATTCGTTTCCACCAGACGATGCATTAATTGTACGAATGAATGGCTCAAATCATCTGAAAATTATTTCATTTTCTCTCTTGTTTATTTGCACAGAACGACTACTCTCCAGCATCGAGGACATCAAGAAAATCTTGGCTCTCAAATACAGTCATCTCTCTGAAAACACCGATGAGATGAATGCCCAAATTGATAACAGCGTAGCCACCGCCACAAGTAAGTTAAATATCACACTTCTTATGCACATAGCGCGCCAATTTATTTATTTACGCGTTCTCGCGCGCCCTTTTCTTCGTCAACGTTTGTTTTCTTTGTTTGTCGTTTTCTGTATATTGAAAATCAATTTTATTTGCTTTAATTTTGCTTTGATCAGCATAAATGAATATCAATTGAATTGAATGACAACAAACGGAAAAGGAGTGTAAAGACAAAATTGAAAAATACACACACACACACACTAAAGTTTACATCGAACGAACCGTTCAAAGTCTTTGCTAGTCTAAAGTAAATACAGCAGAGCAAAAAAAAGGCAGCACAACACCATATTTGAATTTTCAATTGTTTGTCGCTATAATCAATTTAAAAACAATATTTGCGTTGCTTTGTTTTTTCCTGTTTCCATGGTCTTTAATTCAACAATTCTCACTTAATAATGTTGTTTCTTCTTCTTCTTCTTCTTCTTCTTCTCTTTTTTGCCATCTTCCTGAAAACAAAAATAATCCATAGAATTACAAATAGCCGGAACATCCACGGAATTTGTTAACAAAGTGTTAGAAAAAGTGAAGTGTGGCATACCAAACGGTGGGCTGTATGAAATTTAAATGCTATCATCGAGTCGATGTGAACGTGTCAGTGTTCATGACCACCAAATCTGTCATCGATAAACAAACATATGTGTTTACGAGTACCGAGCAAGTTTCAAAGCATTTTTCATCAACCGAGTTCAAGAACCAACGTAAAAAGAATTGATTTTAAAGAAAAACGTCGATCCAGCGAGCCAATTCTCGGCCCATTGGGAAACGACCGGAACGATAATCACATCGAACTATGTATGCTGAATATACACCCAGCCCAACTTTTGATTTAAGAGCAAAAAACATTATGCTGTAAATTTGAAAAAAAAAACAAGAAAAAAAGGAACATTTAAGAAAATATAGGTTTATGACACGGTGAAAGCGAAATTGTCAAAGGATTGTGATTTGAAAGTTTTCTATTTTTTGTATTTTGCACCCGAGAGAAGAAAAAAAAACGAGATTTTGTTTTTCCAAGTAATGAGACAGAATGAGGGAAATATGTTGGATTGCATGTCAACATGGTAATCCTGTTTTGCATCGAAAATATGCCTGAAACTGCGTTTCATATATCATTGTCATTTCGTTCGTAACGTCATTTTTTTTTGTTCTAAACTGTTGTTATTGTCACTCGTCGGAATATCCATTTCAATGGAATGACAAAAAGAGATACTATTCAAAATGTTGCCTGAAACAAGCGAAATTATCACTCATGTGCACACACGATGGGAATAATTAAATTACAGTCGCCTGTACAGAAACAAACAAATCGAAAGAAAAAACTATATCAGCTTGATAACATGCACAACGCAAAAGGACAACTACAAAACGAAATCGGTCAAACAAAGTGCAAAAAAAATGCGTTTTGCGCAGCTCATGACTAACGCGCCGGGTTCAATGCTTTCTAATTTCATATGATGTGAACCGTTTTTTTTGTCTCGCTCCTAGCAAAAACTCGTTTATGCACACAACAGCAACAATGAAGAACGAACGAACGAGCGAAAAAAAAAACTCATCACATCGCATGACATGAGCGTCTCGTTACACTTTTCCCAGAGCGGCATTTGTTTTGACACCCAACAATTGAAATTAATCAAAATCAGTCCACACTAAAAATGGTTAAAATGAGGAAAGTATAAAGCGCGGCCGAAATTTGATGCTTGACTGGCATGTAATTATGCGGCGGATATCGAATTGTGCAACTTCATCGAAATAATCCACGATTCGCAGTAATTTGCTATCGTGTGCGCGATTCAAATTATCTCTTTGATATGAGTAGCCACGCTTTTGTGTGCTGCTTCTATGTCATATTCTTTTTTTCCCGTTCGATTTGGGTGAATACCCAAGACTCGAATCGCAAACGAACGAACGAATGAAATGAGATGCATAAACACAATTTTTATTTCAGAACATTAAAAAAAAATGTGTGACACAAGACAACTATTTCTTTTACCACAGAAAAAAAAGAAGCAGCGATAAACAAACATTAAACCATGAATGTGGCACGTGAAATGAGTGCCCATCATACGACACCCAATGCAAAATGCAAAAAATAAAAGAAACAACAAAATGAATAACATGATCATTCGACGATTTGTCGTATATAATTTTGATAAATAACTGTTATCAACATAAATAATGCAAACACTTTAAAAATACTTGAAACAATTTAAGAACTCTTGGGTTAAGTCTTAGACATTAAGAAAAAAAAAATTAAGTAGCAAATCCAGGCTGAGCAAATAAATGCCATCAAATGCATTCAGTTGATCTCGAATCGAAGCAGAAATGGAAAATATCAAATTCAGCCGGATTTAAGGTGATCTTCTTCTTCTTTTTTTCGCTCAGATGGATTGCCAACATTTTATGAATGTAAATACACAAAAGAAGTAACGTCTAGCGATAGAGTTTATTTTTGTACCAAGTAAAAAATAACGAAACCGAGAAAAATGAAAACAAAAACTGTAGACTTTAAGTTTTGATTAGTTTGCATATAGTTTTTTTTTTTAAGAAAACAACCTTAACTACTGATTTCAACTAACGATCAGACAATTGTAAAATCAACATCCTTTTTTCACTCTCGTCAACAATCAACGAACTTTTTCATACGACTTAGTCTCAAAGTATGACAATTCAGAATGATTGAAAAGAGAAAATCATAAATTTAACCATGTTGAAACGAATCACCACCACAGAGGATTCGCTCCTATTTGTAAAATACCCACAAAATATATTTTTTTAATTCAGTTTGCGATTTAAGACCAAAATGAAGAATTTAACCGAGTTAAAAACTAAAGATTTTTTTATTATCTATATAACCGCAACCAGCTAAATACAAAGCAAAACAAGTCAGGAACTAAACTGTGAATTGGAAATAAAAATGAAACAATTAAAAGCCTACTATTTAAGCTGAATGAAAAGAAACAAACAAACAAACAACAAAACATAGTTAAGTTGAAGTTTGTCGCATTAAGATCGATTTAAAACGAATCCAGCAAAAGTGCATGAAATCAAGGTTCTGTGAAGAAGAAATTATCAGTAATCAAGCGGATCAAAAGCAAACTAAACAAACGAATGCTTTAAAGCTGTTTTTTTTTCTGCGAAAGAAAAAATATTAAATATCCAAATCCAAGTTTGCTTATATGTTTTTTTTGTTGTCCTGAAAGAGAAAAAATTAAGCGTTTCCCTTCTATTTTCTGTTGTACATGTTAATCATTTTTGTTTTTCGTTTTGTTGAACACAAACAATAAATTTATTAAAATCAACTGTTTTTCACTCAAACGTTATATTCGCCGATTTTTATTTCCAAATTGTAAATTATTGTTGCCTTTGGTTTTTCTTCCTTTTTTTCGATTTTTTCTTTGTTATTTTTTCTTCAATTATTGATTAGAAGAAGAACAAAAACAACACACACTCACATATATATATATATATACCGTGATTTGTTTACATTTGTTTCGTTCTTTGTGCGCTATGTTTTGTGTACGTATGTGATGCATATATTTTTATTTGTGTTCAAGAGTCTCATCCTCAAGTTCAAAAACAATTGATCAGGTTCGTCTTCATTTATTATGACATTTGTTTTTTTTTTTTATTCTTTTATACTGTGAAAGAAGGTTCTAAATCTTAAGGGAAATAAGAAATCAAAAGCCAAAGGCAATAGAAAAATCCAGCTCTGGCTAAATTTAATGTTATATAATAATACTGAATGTAATGTTTTCATATTTCTTGTTTAGCATTTTCGTTCCTTGATAAAAATAACACCAAATTGGCTGGCGTTTAGCCTTTAGAATGTTTAGGAAACAGTAATGGGGTTGTTCCTTCTTTTTAAAATGTCATTTCAATTTGTTTGGTCTGTGATTTTGATTAACTAATGCATAGGTTCTTTCGAAATTACATTTCATCATTAAACATGTACGTTTTTTTTTAAAATCTATGTCTCGCTATTAGTTTCATATGAATCATTTTTGTGCTTGTTTTTTTCTGTTTCATACCGTCTTTTTTGACATAGAAGTTGCCATTAATTGGGGAAGCCACAAATTAATTGCGGAAATAATTTAGATACCGAACAAATGCGCCACTATAAAAAGAAACGACTACGATGGGCATTTTGAATGACACATGCTCCAAATCATTACCAAATACCAAACACATATTTGAATGGGCAAGCGGAATAATGAAACGTAATTCTGTTTTTAAATGAAGTGCCTCTGAGAAAAATTTTCAGTAAAAAAGCCCCACAAAAATATTGTCTGAATAAGATTTTCATACAAATTTTTATCAGACAATATTTTTGTGGGGCTTTTTTACTGAAAAATTTTCTCAGAGGCACTTCATTTGAAAACAGAATTACGTTTCATTATTCCGCTTGCCCATTCATTTAATGTTAATTTTTTCTTTGTGCCTGTGTGTGGGGGAAAAAAAGCACCTGTCTTCTATAAAACAAATATGAGTGATTTCGTACCGCTCATTCCACACCTGCGAGAGGCAGAAGAGTTAACCGTTTAGATAGGAGCAACATATTTTCACCCAATTGAAAATGGAGTTAAAAATTCGTTCATTCATTTTGCTTGACTTTAAATTTCTACAGCAAATTTCCAAGTGAAAACTGTCATTTTAATTGACACACCGACAAATATTCAATTATAACCGGATTCAATATTTCGTTTTTATTTCATTTGTTCAATGTGGAATGGTTTTAAATTCTGAACCATCTGAACTATTTGAAATCAAACTTGGAAAATAAGACACGTTGCGGCGACCCCCATTGAACGAACTTTTATCTACAACATTTGAATAAATTCAACATATTTTGAAGAAAAATTCCCGCTTCCTGCTTCTTTGTCATTGTTATTTTACAAGGAAAAAAAGCATGTTCAGAAAGTTTTTAATCATTTTGAATCAAGAATAACTGTGTGATTGGCATAGAAGTTTATATATAGCAGCATTCAAACGACTCCAAATGTTTCAGCATTACAAACGTGCTGATAACGTTATCAAAAATGCTTTCTCGCTAGGTCTGACTTTATCAGTCGAAACATTTCATCCGGTCATAGAAACAGTTTTTTTTTTCATATTTCAATGCAAATTCCATTGAAAAAACAACACGACAAAAATAAACTTTGTAATTGAGTAAATAAAACCAGAGGAAAATAAAGAAATAATGGGAATTAAAAATGTCTCTTGTGAAAATGTCAATACACTACCTCAAAAACGAAACGGTCCGTGATAAATTAATGATTAAATAACACTGAATATAAATTAAAGAAAAAAATAATGCAAAAAAAAAGAAATAATTACCAAAACAAACACTGAAAATAAATAACACACACACACAAACACAACAATTTTGTTAACGAGGATATTTTTTTTATTAAGAGAAAAGAGATATTTTTTATACGACGCAAAAAAAAACAATGGAAAGAGCATACAAATTTTATTAAATTATTCTTATACCTGCTTGGTAGGATACATACATCTATATTTATGAAGTGTCAGAAATACATATACTATATGATAATATTTTGTAGAATGTAAGAAGAATTGATTGGGCAAAAAATACACACACATTTTATCTATTCATATTTAAAATTACAAATCAGATACTATATTTAACATAAGTTGGGAGTAAATTTTCGTTTTCCATTTTGTTTTTGAAATTTTAGCGATAAAGTTGCATATATAATGTTTTAATCTTAGACACGGCATGTAGCAAACCATTTTTCGACAAATGTAACGAATGAAATGTGTATGGCAATGATCGAAATGGAACCAAAACAATTAACTTCAAACGACTTAATACAATGTGCGATTTCGGCGGTCGCATCCCTTCAAGAAGCATGAGCTCATTCGCAAGACTGTTGCAATCATACTGTTTTCCGCGATAGCTCCTCACCCTTTTTGCGATTCCAACCGAAACTTGTTTTTTTCTATCCATACCCATCAAAAGGCATGTTGATTTTTGTCCTCTTTTTGAAGCAACTGAAATTGAGAAACGTTATTGTTTAAAATGAAAGAAAAAAATTTAGTTTTTAGTTTTGTGAGAGAATTGCGTTGATTTTTATACGAAGAATGTTTAATGATTGAAAGCTAATAAGAGATAGATTACTTCATTTTTTTATACGTACCCACACAAATCTATTTAAACAAAGAAAAGCAACTTTATATATTTTTTTATTAAGCACATCATACGATCGCATGGTATTTTGAATGTGATTTGCACACAGTTCACATCCCATTCTCTGCGTGCAAAATACATTCAACGTCTTTGGCCGAATTGTAGAGAATATGAATATTATTGAAACTATAAAATTGAAAATTGAATACTTTATAATTATTGAGAATGGCTAAATATTAGAGTAGCCCATGCAATTAATCATTAAACCTATTAATTGTAAACCATCTAACAAAATAAATGTTGTGCACATTTGATGAACACCAATTCTGTCAAGCACATTTACAAGACATCTTGATGTTTACCATAAATGTCAAAATATTAATGCAAAAAAAAAAATCTATTCTTACACACACACAATAGCGAGGAGTTAAGTTTTATACTAAAGTGTCATATAACCAATACATTCAAATATAGTTGACATATTCGAATGGGATAAAGTTCATCGCAAAAGCAGATGTCAGCACCAACAAATATACACAAATGAGATGACATTTATCCCATTCGAATATGTCAACTATATTTGAATGTATTGGTTATGACACTTTAGTATACAACTTAACTCCTCACTATTGTGTGTGTACGTAACGAACTTTTGTGAAAACTTTGAAACTGAGAATGGAATAAAAAGAAATTGTATGGGAATCAAAGAAACTAAAAAAAAAAACAGAGAGAGAAAATTGCAACGGTGTTTTTATTCATTTGCTTTTGCAGTTTGTTAGTGTGGAAAACTGATATCTGGAGATACAGTAAAATTCAAACGAAGTAAGTGTTGTATTTGAATTAGATGGAAATTTCTTTTCAAGACACAAACTGCAACGCATTTTAACAATCCAATAAATATTCTCACAGCACTGAGAATATTTATTCTTCTTCAAAGAACCAATGTGTCTTTCTCTGATGATAAACTAGATCAAAGTCTTTGATTTAAAGAGATATATGTACTTATATAAAGGCGTCATTATTCCTCTGCCCTTTGCAGACGTTCATTAATTTAAATTGAGTAAAAAATTGGGTGTGTGCGTGTCAACCAAAATTTTACATTTTTAGGGAAAAAAAATCATGCAGAAAATTGTATAAAAGACACTGAGAAGAACATTTTACGATCAGTCAAGGGAGTGTCACTCTGAGCGAATCATGAAAATGAAATCTTTTAAAATTCTAAAAACTTACTTACGTTGGATCGGAATTCTAGAGTTGGATTCGAATGCTAAAGCAAAGATTTTCGCCACTCTACGGATTTGCATTTTATTTGGAATTTACATCGCTTATTTTTTTACTCCATTGTGGAAACTTCTATCCACAACTCGAACATTCAAAGATTATACTGAAATTTCAATTTACCTATTGAATTCATTGTTAGTAACATTGTGGTATTCGGTTTGCGTTTGGCAAAAGGACAAGTATGCCAAGCTCTTTGTTGGTTTGGATGGAATAATTGAAAAAAGTAAGTAAAAATTATTATCTTAAAATAGTAAATGATGGATTAAATTTATTTTCTTTTTCACTAAATTAGGGAAGCAAAATATTTCGACCGGTAAAATGTATGATGAAATTAATAGGCAAATTGAAGAAGTGTCGAAAAAATTGGATATTCTGTTGATGCGGATTGTGGTACCAATGTTTACTCTGCTCCCGATTTTATTATCTCTTGCCAAGTACATTTCGTCGGGCTATTCTAGTGAATCTTTTCAACAAATTTACCCAGCGAAGTAATTTCCCTTCCGTTTAATTTACTTAAAGATGCTTTAAAATAGAAAAGTCTTTCTTAGTACTTGCTCTCTTGTAGCCAGGCTGCAAATCAGAAAAGTTGCCGATCAAAACGAAAAAATTCACATTTTGTTGAGCAAGAACTCAAAAAGATGTTCATCCTTCTAGAACATTCATTTTTAATTTTCTTTACAAAGGTATCCGTTTAATTGGAAAACTCCATTTGGATACATGGTGTGCGCATTTATTCAAACAATAACAGTACATGCAGCGGGCCAAATATTCGTATCTGTTTTGATTTTAGTTGTTGGATTTTGCATATTTGTGCGAGCATTTATTTCAGATATTCAAGACAACTTGCTTCAATTGAATGAGGATTTTGAAACTGAAATTGATCGTCTGAATTTGTGCACGAAAGAACGAGTCGAGCTAAAGGAGAAACTGATTGGCATTATTGAATTTCATTCGGAGTCGATATGGTTAAGTGTTCAGTTTGTGTGTATTTTCGACTCCTATTGAAAGAATGACGTGATTTTCTTCACGCAGGTTTACAAATCACTTCTCGGATACAAATAGCAGCCTTATCCTGGTCTTTTTCTTATTTACAACAATATCCATATGCAATTTATTTCTACAAATTAATATGGTAATTAAACTTTTCGAATAATTCTAAGGATGAAATTCTAGTATGAATTTAAATCATTTACATCGCTTCGAGTATATTGTCATTTTTGGCATTTGAAAACTTCATAGTGTTGAAATCATAAATTCAATCGTTATTTTATTAAAATCTTGATTTTTTTAAAAATATTTTCAAGCTTTTTGAGGATGGAAATTTTGTTAGCATTTGGCATGTCGGTTTCGTTGCTTCCCCAATTATATTTTGGCTCTATCTGTTCTGTCATTTTGGAGATCAACTAACTGAAAGTTTCGGTAATGTTGACAATGCTTTTTATCAACTTTCGTGGTATGAACTCCCATTGGACATGCAAAAATGCATTCCGATGGCCATTTCTCTCGCTCAAAAGGAAATTTATCTTCAAGGATTCGGCAGCATCAATTGCACGAAGGATACGTTCAAAAAGGTGACACATACCGCAAATGCCAAGGGGCGAATCACTACTGAATTGACTGAAAGTACTGAAAACCACTGAATTTTTTTTCTTGATACTGAAAAGTACTGAAAACCGGTTTTCAGTAGTAGTTCGCCCCTTGGCAAATGCACACATAAAATTATAATCAATGATTTCATTTCTGATTATTGCAGATCATGAAATCTACTTTTTCGTATACGAGTGTGTTGAGGCAATTTAGCGAATAAGTGAGTCGAGAAGACATGAAAATTTCCCACATTCTGCCACTCTTCATGGAAAAACCACAAAAATATTGCACTTTGGCATTTTTTTGTATTTGATTCTAATGACATATATTTGGTATTACTGAAAAAATGTTGTCATGACATGTTTTCTATTACAGTTAAACATTAAACATATCAATCGTAAAGCATCTAATAAAATAAATGTTGTGCACATCTACAATACTTCTTGATGTATACTAAAATGTCAGAATAAATGCAAAAAAAAAAATTGTCTGTAGAAAATCTTTCAGAATGTAATAAAAAGTTATATATGTGGATAAAGCGTATTCAAATGAACGTATTCTTTCATTTTATTCTACAGCAAATCATTTCAAATTCCAATAAGAAATCATTGAAAATGTCTTCGAAAAAGGTAAATATATCGTGAAATTTCATGAAAAGTTACTTGAATTCATAAACTTCTTCAGATGCCTTTTTCATTGATAACAGACACCGTAAAATCAATTTAAAACTTTGGAAAATAATTATAATCATTCAAATGCATTCTTTGCATATTAATTAACAAAAAAATGAACGATTCTACATATGAAATGCAGATTTTAGTAGGTGGCGAGTGTAATTCAACCTCATACTACTTTCTAAACTTTTTGTCAGTGATGTTATTAAATGAAGAAATGCCGATTTTAGACCAAATTTGTGGGAAAAACGGCGTTCAGAGACCCATATTTTTTCGACGAAAAAATGGTAGTTTTCTAAGTCCATTTTTTTAACATCACTGACAAAAAGTTTGGAAACGCTCGTTCTCGATATATTGAGCCAAGTTGACAAAACGTAGTATGAGGTTGAATTACACTCGCCACCTGCTAAAACTTGAATTTCATGTGTAGAATCGTTCATTTCAAAAGTTCAAAAAATTACTACAGTGTCATTTGATCTTGGGATGTTCATTGGATGAATAGTTCAGCAAACTTTGCAATACCCCATAAATGACCTTAATCCTTTGCAGACTAGTAGAAAAGAATAAAACGTAAAAGAATTTCCTTTGATATCGTTAACGAATTACTCTTCGAAGTCTGGAAACTTTGGGACGTGTCTTCAAAAGAAATTACATGAAAATCAATATTTGTTGTAAATTTATCGGCCAGAACGGTATAAAAGTTGAAGACAATATTGAACTTAAATCATTTGAAGGTCAATCAGCTAACAGTTAGCACTAGTATCTTCCATTGAAAATGGAATTTTTCAAAAGTTTAAAAACTTACCTACGCTGGCTTGGAATTCTGCCATACAATTCCAATCCCAAAGCAAAAGTGTTCATCTTTGTGTTGAACTGTATTTTATTTGGATTCTACATATCTTATTTTGTCACTCCATTGTGGCTTATTCTATCCATGACTTGGACATTTAAGGAACTTAATGAAACTTCGTTTTACTTATTGAGTGGATTGCTAACTATTTTATGGTATTCAGTTTGTGTTTGGCAAAGGAATAAATACGCTACACTGTTTATTGATTTGGACGAAATAATGGAAAAAAGTGAGCGAAAATTGAGTCAAGACTTTTAAAAATGACTATTTGACTGACTACCTTTACTACATAGGAAAACAGAATGGAACGATCGATAAAATCTATGATAAAACCAATGTCCAAATCGAAACGGTGTCGAAAAAGCTGCATACAATGATTAGTTACATTATCGTACCGATTTTGACGCAACTTCCGATTTTTCTATCATTTGTTAAATACATTTCGTCGGGCTATTCCAGTGAATCTTTTCAACAAATTTACCCAGCGAAGTAATTTCCCTTTCGTTTAATTTACTTAAAGATGCTTTAAAATAGAAACGTCTTTCTTAGTACTTGCTCTCTTGTAGCCAGGCTGCAAATCAGAAAAGTTGCCGATCAAAACGAAAAAATTCACATTTTGTTGAGCAAGAACTCAAAAAGATGTTCAATGAACATTGTTCATCCTTCTAGAACATTCATTTTTAATTTTCTTTACAAAGGTACCCATTTAACTGGAAAACACCATTTGGATACATTCTATGCGCATCCATTCAAACGATAACAGATTTTGTAGCCGGTGAAATCTTTGTGACGGTTTTGATTTTAGTTGCTGGATTTTGCATAATTGCAAAAGCATTTATATTGGACATTGAAGAAAACTTGTTTCAGTTCAATCGGGACATCAACACTGCTGTTAAACGTGAACATTTACCGATGAAAGAAAAAATCGAGATGAAGAAGAAATTGTTTGGCATCATTGAATTTCATTCGGAGTCGATATGGTTAAGTTTGTGTTTGCAATTCTCGAAAAAAAATCATTTTTTCTAATCATGATTTTGCTCATTTAGGTTTATAAATTACTTCTCGGACACAACTAAAAGTCTTATTTTGGTTTTCTTCCTGTACACAACGATGTCCATATGCAGTTTATTTCTACAAATTAACATGGTAATTGAAAACAAACTATTTTCGAGGATCTTATTGTTGATGGTGTTTTGAGATCTTATCATTTGTTTTTTCAATTTTCAAGCTTTTCGAGGCTGGTCACTTTGCTACAGTTTTAACGCATACTGGTATCATTGCTTCGCCAGTCACATTTTGGCTCTATCTGTTTTGTCATTTTGGAAATCAAGTAACTGAAAGTTTCGGTAATGTTGACAATGCTTTTTATCAACTTGCGTGGTATGAACTCCCATTGGACATGCAAAAATGCATTCCGATTTCCATTTCTCTCGCTCATCAAGAGATTTATCTTCGGGGCTTTGCTAGCATTCACTGCACCAGGGACGTATTCAAGCAGGTGAAAAAGCATTCAAGCAAATATACATTGTTTCTATGAAATTTCATTGAATATTTTATTTTCGAATATTTAAGATTATGAAGACCACTTTCTCATATTTTATGGTATTAAAGCAATTTAATGATTAATAAATGATCTCAGCGTCCAAATCACAATCAAAACCAAAACCTTTGACCGAATTGTAGAATATGAATATTATTGACACTATTAAATTTAAAACTGAATACTTTATAATTATTCATGAAATACATTTATATTTCGGCTAAATAATAAAATATCACATGCACAGTTGTAACAACTTTGTACGTTTTTTTAAATTAGTTTTTGTATTTCTAAAGCGAGATTTTCGATATGTCAGTTTGTTGAAGAGTTAGACGACAAAAACCAGCCCCTTGTAAATGAATATTTTTATTCGCAAATTTACAAAACAACTTGATGTATACTCGAAATATAGATGCCAACAACATCTATTTTTACGTAACGCACTTTTGTACAATTTTTCAAACTTGGAATAGAATAAAAAATTGTATGGAAATGTAATTCATTCCAAATGAAAAGAGAGAGAGAGAGAGAGAGAGTCTATTGGTGAAACGTGATTCTACCAATGAAATTTTTCATTTGTATTGGTAAATTTAATACAATAGACACCAGACATGATTAAAATCTTCAATTTGACTTGAAAATATTAAACTAATTCGAATTCATCATGATTCAAACGAATATTACTCTGTCCACTTGGCCTCGAGACGTCCATTAACCGAAATTAATTGAAAAAATGGTGGTGTTCGCGTGATTGAAAAACAACTCTACCCTTTGAAGAAAAAATTAAGCACACGAAAGTGGTTTGACGAAGATTGTATATATATATAAATGGGAGCAAAAATTAAAAGAAGAATATTTGTGGATCAGTCAAAGAAGAGTAAATAAAATCTATGATGAAATCAATGGAAAAATTGAAACAGTGTCCAAAAAATTGCATATTCTGATTACATATATCATCACACCGATGTTTACTCTACTCCCAGCTGTTTCATCGTTTGTGAAATACATTTCGTCGCGTTATTCCAACGAATCATTTCAAAGCGTAGTTTACCTCGAAGTCTAGTATTCATTCTAATTTTTAACCATATTTTTCACTTTGACCAGGTACCCATTTAATTGAAAATCGCCATTTGGATACGTCATATGCGCATGTATTCAAACAGCAACAATATTTGCAGCGGGTCAAATATTCGTGTATGTTTTGATTTTAAATGTTGGATTTTGTCTATTTGTTACAGCATTCATCTCAGACATTGAAAACTTGCTTCAATTGAATGGAGATTTGATTGCTATGATTAAAAGGGGAAACTTGTCTGTGATAGAACAGATGGAGACAAAGAAAAAACTGTTTGACATCATTAAATTTCATTCGGAGTCGATATGGTTAAATGTTTCATGTGTGTCGTTTCAACACGAATAATATAAAAAGCGTTCTCTCCAATCAAGCTTTTCAGATACAAATAAAAGTCTTATTTTGGCTTTTTTCCTGTACACCTGCAATTTATTCCTACAAATGAATATGGTAATTGGAGTGGCATTCAAATCTTATTATTTTCTTTCAAATTTTGAAGCTTCTAGAGGCTGGGCATTTTGCGAGCGTTTGGCACGTTGGTTTCATTGCTTTACCAATTACATCTGAGCTCTATCTGTTCTGTCATTTTGGTAATCAATTGACTGAAAGTTTCGGTAATGTTGACAATGCTTTTCATCAACTTGCGTGGTATGAACTCCCCCCAAAAATGCATTCTATATATGTGGAGATGTTTGTAAATGTGGCCCCTATCAGATACATTTTAATTGTGCGACTGAATTCATTCTTCTCGTTTTATCATAAATTTCAAAGGATCAGAGATGATGGTAAATCCGTATGTACTTGAAAAAACAAATAATTTTCGCAATTTCTTTTAATCGTAATTTTGGGAGAAATACGAATTTATATGTGACTTAATTCATTTGTAACATAAAGTGAATCTCATTGATTTATCAATAATTCAATGGCCTAATACATAGAGGTGAAGTAATATAATAGTAATACATCAGACAATATTCCGACAAAATAATTACACATACCCGTTATTGGATAGCAAATTTTAAGGAAATTATTCCTTTTAATTTGCCTCGAGACGTTCACCTCCATTCTTTCATTAAATAGCGTGTGTTGTCTCATTAAAAACTTTTCTCTTTTTTAAACTGAAAGATAACAAGAGCTTCAAATTGCTATACAGAAGAAACAAGTCTGTTACGACTATTCTCGCTTTAGATAATCTTAGAATGTTCGAAAAAAAAAACAATCCAATTTGGGTCTCGTGTGCTCTGGGTGGCAACTAAGAGCAAAAACGAAGTAAGTCACAACAGTGGAGACACGAGCAGCCTCAGTTTCATAGGCAAATCAATGCAATTCAACATTTATTTGAAACTAACATATTACCACCCTACGCTTGTTTGGTACTACGTGACAAACCATGATTGGATATGTTACATGAAATGTACACCAAAAATGTATCTGTTTCAAAAAATTTTCGTCAAAACAATAATTTCCAAGAAAAAAAGCCGAAGTTTCATCAAAACTATAATTTGTCCGTATTGGCAATCATATTTTCTAGTTCCAACTTGTAGTTTGCCCTACAGTTCACAAATAATAATTAAGCATAGAACTGAAATTTGGTTTGGAATTAAAAGGTTCTACTTTGGAATTCGAATGGAGAAAATCAAAGAAACGCTTACATTTCATGTAACGGTAAAAACTTAAAACAAAATTATCGTTGAATAGTAATTTAATTAATGCGTCGCGCTCAGGCATATAAATTGAAACAAAAGCTAGAAAAGAACCATTTGAAGTTAAGGAAGCGTTCGCTAACAACGCTAATCAAAAATGGAATCTTTCAAAAATCTAAAGACTTACTTGCGTCGGCTTGGAATTCTGCCGTGGAGTTCTAATCCTTATGCAAAGATTTTGATTTACCTATGGAACTGTATTCTATTTGCAATTTTCGTGTGCTATTTTCTGGCCACATTGTGGCATGTTCTATCCACGGCTCAAACATTTAAGGATTATACCGGAATGTCAATTTATTTGTTGAGTTCATTGTTACTTGCTTTGTGGTATTGCATCTGCGTTTGGCAAAGGGACGAATATACGGCACTGTTCACGGATTTGAGTAAAACAATGGAAAAAAGTGAGCATAAATGATGAATTATCGCAAATTACAAATGAATTTATTATATTTTCCTTCACAAAATAGGGAAACAACATAGTGGAATCGATAAAATTTATGATGAAATCAATAGCCGAATGGAAATGGTGACGAAGATATTACATACTTTGATGATGGAAGTTATAGTTCCGTTGTTTTCCTTGCTTCCAATCGTGTTTTCTATTGTGAAGTACATTTCATCGGACTATTCGAACGAATCATTCCAGCAGATTTTTCCAGCCGAGTAATTGGCTTTGATTCAAAGCACATAAAAGTCTTTATTGAGTGAAAAATTTACTCAATAAGTCTTGTAAAAAGCCTTTGAAATTTTACTCTTCTAGAAATTATCATGATTTTGTATTCTTACCAAATTTATGCACTATCTACGTATTTTCTTTATCTCAAAAGGTACCCATTTAACTGGAAAACGCCATCAGGATACGTTTTATGCGTATTTATTCAAGCACCAACAATATATGCATCGGGCGAAATGTTTGGGTCGGTTTTGATTTTAGTTGCTGGATTTTGCACTTTTGTGCCAGCATTCATCTTGGACATCGAAGAATGCTTGCGTCAATTGAACAAAGACATCATGACCGCACGTGGGATTAAAAACGTGGCCAAAAGAAAACAGCTTAAGATAAAGGAAAAACTGTTAAACATCATTGAATTTCATTCAGAGTCGATATGGTTTGCAAATCTTTTCTCGGATACAAACAAAAGTTTGATTTTGGCCTTTTTCCTATACGCAACAGTCTCCGCATGCGGTCTATTTCTAGAATTCAATATGGTAAAATTGATGATGAAATTTTTGTTTGCATCAACAGTTTATAGTTTTCTATTTATTTTCAAGTTTTTGGAATCTGGAAATTTCGCTAGCATTTGGCATACTACTATCATGATCTTACCGGTTACATCTTGGCTCTATTTATTCTGTCATTTTGGAAGTCATGTAACCGAATGCTTTTGTAATGTTGATAGTGCTTTTTATCAACTTGAGTGGTATGATCTCCCATTGGACATGCAAAAATGCATTCCCATGGCCATTTCTCTCGCGCATAAGGAAATTTATCTCAGAGGATTCGGCAACATTCAGTGCACTAGAGACGCATTTAAACAGGTGGAAACTAGCAAACATACATACCTATAAAATTATATTGAATATTTTATTTTTGAATATTTAAGATTATGAACATCACCTTCAAATATTTTATGATATTAAAGGAATTTACTGGTTGATCTGGACATGAGAAAATCATCTCAAATTGTACCAAAAGACAGAAATCGTTTGGAATCACAAATATTTTGCAATGCTATCATTTGTTTTATCCAGAGAATACTATGGGATATTTTTATATGCAAAGGGATATTGCAACTTTCTTGACCAGAAAAAACGCCATCTAACGTCGTGCCCGTAAATTATTTTACTGTACATTTAGATGGTAGAGCTTGAACAAAAGTTCGACACTATGCATAAACTTGGAAAGAGCTTGATAAACTTGATGAAATACATATATTTTTTGGTCGTTGCTACACCCCTATGTTCATATGGGATAGAAATATCGCATAAAAATATTTGATATTTTTATGCGATCTTTCTATCCCATATGATTTAAAATATCTCATAGTATTCTCTGGTTTTGTCAACGTTCTACATAAGATAGAGCGATAATATTTTCTTCACATTTTATTCATTGAGCTAATGCTTTGCTCGACTAGAGAATTCAAAATAAGAAAACAAATTGAGCATTAATTAAGCATATATATTCTATTCAAAAGTATTTTCGTTTGATTTCGCTTAAAATTCATATAAAAATTGCTTAAAACTCGTCATTGGAAGTTAAATTTGATGCTGTCACTCAATAAATTATCCCCAGCAAATATTCATTTTTCTAATCTAACTCATTTTCTGGTAGAAGGTCGTAAAAATTGGTAACTCCGTTTGCAATTTCTGCATCGTCTAGGCTAAGTTGAACCTGTAAAAATATCCAATATTAATTATTACTACCCTGTCCATATAATTTTCCTTTTCATTTGCTTACCTTTCCAACGATCGAACCCGATCCGTGTAGAAGTGCATAGAATGCATTTCGTGTAGACACAACTACCTCCAATTTTCGATCTCTCAATTCTGCTGGCGAGAGTAGATATCTGAAGTTTTCTTCATAAATTGGATCACTTGAGTCTTTGACAACTTTGGTTTTTCGTTTCGAGTCGGATGATCTTCCTGGCAGCAGATAGAGCTTCACATACGTATTCAACGCGACAGATTGATCTTTTACTGGAATGTTTCTGTAAAGAGATGAACGATGTAAACGATAACGGCATTATTGAAAGAAAAAAAAACCATTTCGTTTGGACTCACATAATTTTATGAACAGTAACCGACAAGTATTGAAGTTCAATGCTGTAATGTAGAGTCAGTTTTATACTGCCCAATCCATAGCAACACAAGGAAGACTCTCCATTTCGTGGGCCACTCTCCACAAGGATGCTGCCCAAATTAGACACTTTCTCCGCGTGCACATCACTCTCCGGCGCATTTTCTCCATCTGACACAGCATTATCCTCTTGTGGCTCTTCAGCTTCTTCAATGGGTGTATCTTCCAAAGGAGTCAATTCACTGGATCCGTTTTCAGAACGTTTTAAAATTTTCAGCGCCAATGACATGATGATTTTCGACGTTGGGCCCGACTTCTTCAGTTCGAATGGTTGTGAAACAATTTGTAAATCATTTTGAGTGAGAAGTTCACATATATTGAATGACAAACGGCCAAGACGATCGCCATGTTTTTCGTCCGGATTTTTGCCCGCCACTGAATAGAAGAAAAAAAACACAAAGAACATAAATTGACCGAATTATAATTTGTATGTTGAGCTTGTTGTTAAATTGGATTTTCATGGTGACATGTACACGAAGCGAATTTAAACCTCGAATTTGAAGTATATCTTGCTCTGGATTCGCCACAAGGAATGTAAAACCTTGCTCAAACACTGGTGAATCGGTTTCCTTTTTCGACGAAGTTTTCCATTCGACATTCCCAACCGTTAACATAACGAACGGATCTGGTTTACAATCATCATCGATTTGCGGAAGATCGCTCGCGGAGTCAATGTAAACCGATAAAACGGCGCTACTTAACTTTGTGATCTGTAATAATTTGGTTTCAGCAAGAGCCTGCAATGGAAAATAAAATTGAGTGAATTTAATAATGAATTTATTTCATCATTTAAAGCTCACCGCACGCAAATCTCCATACGCAGGAGATAGCTCATACCAAGTAAACCGGACGTGCAATTCTCCATGCTTCACTCCTTCGAGATAAATCCACTGTAATTAATCGATTATTAAACGCTTTTTTACGTTCGTTTCAAAAGTAAAATAATAACCAACCGTATCCAACGATCCATTTTTCACGACATGACTTATATCAATCGTCGCACTAAATATCGAAAATCAATAAAATGTTATCAATGTGATAAAAAGTAATCATTTTACTGATAAAAGCAATTACACGTGGAGCTGATTGTTCCATTTGTTCAAAAATTTAGTACACACAAATTGAACACAGTAAAACTATTAGCTAGGTTTGTTACCTTCCGAGTGGATCAGAGCCACCAGCTCGGTCCCAATCGAGCCTGCAATGGGAAACAAATTTGAGTGATTTTGGTAATGATTTTATTCGTTCGTTTGAAACTCACAATTCAAAAACAATTGACCTTGGACATTTGACATCAATACAAGCCTATTATCATTATTGGAGAACACACTTGATTAGTACAACAAAATTCTCGGTATGATCATAATTATAATTGCATGAAGCATTACCTCACACCAGTAGTTCCATACTGGATTCAAATTATTGTAAATCGTTCGTGTACGAAATTGTTGCGTTCCAATATTGCAAATTCTGAAAGTGAACACATGATGAATTAACGAGCGCTACATTTACGACGGTGGATAAAAAAAATTTGGTTATTTGTTTTGAATCGCGTTATCGTTGTAACTTACGCATATGGATCTGATTTGCCGCCAATATCTTGTTTGATCAAATCTCTTGCTTCCACAATGTTAATTCTCAAAACGCCCTGAAATATGTATGAGTGTATGACGTCAGCCATACATCACATCATCATCATCATAATGAATAAATGAAATATTTCATTTATTCATTCATCACATTACTTACCTCCGGTTGGGGCATTCGTATTGCGGCTGTCGTTGTTTTTTTGGTCAATTTGATTGGATATTTGTTTGGCCAAACCATGATTTTAGCGATTTTCTTCGCAATGACCCGCCGAAGTATATCACCTAAATAAGGTACTTTTAAAACTTCACTCGCTCCGCATAAATTAAAATCGATGTGAGGCTTATCCAAGAAGAAAATCTGCAATCCTCCAATGAATGGTGCCTTTGAAATCAGCGGTTTCATAATAACTCGAAGCATTCCATGAATTTCAAAGTCTTGCAAAGACGCTGACATTCCGGCCAACTTGAAATTAACGTTACAATCGCTCATAAAAATCAATTCCATATCCACAATGATTTCGTCACGGGAGATATTTTTATCGTACACTTTTAAACCGCCAATTCGTGGCGGCGTTGTACCGAATAAAATCCGGTTGCGGTCAAATTCGAAATCATTTAGTTTCTTTTTCGAAAGAGATTTACGAATTTTTTTCTCCAACCAATTTTTCACAAAGTTTTTTAGAAAATCATTCACATTCGGCCAGATTTGTTGTAATATCTAAAAGTGAACACCATAATAAATTAACGAGCGCTACATTTGCAATGTGAGAAAGAAAAAAAAAATGTTTTGACTATTCGTTATCGTTGTAACACTTACGCTGTTTGCCCATTCGCAGCGTTGAAAATCGGGAAAGTAGACCTGAAAGAGATCGTGAAATTTATTGATTCGAATAGCAAATAACAAAATGTTTACATTGTACGAACAAATGAATATTACCCATGATGGTAGATCTTTGATATTGGCTAAAATCACATCTTTCTCGTTCGTGGCCGCTGATTGTCTGGCAATTTTCCGTACAAATTTACGATTGGCACCGTTTGTTTCGCGCCAATAGTTATGTGTTTCAATCAAAATCATGGGTGTAATGAGCCATGCAATCGACCAGTTCATGTATCCAACGAGGTAAATGGCATTGATCACTGTTGCTTTCTTTACAATTGCCCATATGAAAGTTTTAATGCTTATTTCGTTTTCATTTTTAATTGCACTTGTTTTTACAGCTGCAGCCGCTGCCGCAGGACCACCAGCAGTACCAGCGGCTGTACCGTTTATTGCTTCGGTATGACTAGTTTTAACGTCGACAGTAGCCATTTGATATGATGTCACTGATTGACTGTTTTGTCGAATATTTTCAGGGTCAATTGATACACCGAATACTAATAAATTGGCAATGACCTCATATTCTTTCTCAATACAATCGCATTCTCACCGAAACAACATCACAAAATTAAATTTACACCAGATAAATGAAATCATGTTTTTGTATTATTTTTATTTTTCAATAAAAACCCGTTAATCTAAAACACTTGAATCGTGTATAAAAATTGAGAAAGAATTGAAAACACACTCGATTATAACACATTGGGCACCGAAAAATCGAAACACATGCGTTCAAAACAAAACTTCACAAGAAAATAAACTGGTTGCCTATAGCGAAACTTTGTTGAGTTGACGCACGAAGAAGGCAAACAGATGAATGCTGCCATTTCCATAACCGGCTTGTATTCGTTGAACAATAGACGAAACGTGCACAGTTGTGGACTGTGTGAGCGTGAACGGGGGGCAACACAACATTCGTTTATTCATCTACAACAATCAATTGAAGTGGTGTGCGTGCTGATATATACAGCGTGCGGTCATACACTTGAATTTGTCAGTACGATTAGTTACAACAAATTAGTATTTGTTGGGAGTGAATGTTTTGCGGTCATGTTTCCAAGATTTTTTTTTAATGCTATTAAAGATTTCGAATAAAATAAACATTTGCACGCGACGCATGTAAATTAATTCAAATTATGATCCCTTTTTCTAACCGGTGGGAATTGTTTGCAATTGAATCGTTTATTCGGCACCTGAAAATAACTTACTTTACATTTAATTTCAGTGACTAAGTACATTTTTGTTAACCTATTTAAAAAAGAATGAAGTAAAAGACCGTGATTAGAATTTTAGATCAGAATATATTTAATTTCTTCATTTTTCAACAGCAAGCAAATTAAAGCTAAACATCTTTTACATTATCTACTGATTTCGTTATACGACTAAATCTATTCGGTTTTAATGGGCTAAATTAAAACACGATACAATTGTGTGTATAAAAATGCAGGATGGCCGATTATGATCGAGCCCAAGCGGAAGAGAGCGACAGAGATTGTTTACAGAAAAGGCACAGAGTTACAAGTTGAACATCATGTTTGTATAGAGTGTTTACGATGAATAGATTTACAATTTTTTTTACAAAGAAGTTACGTTAGATGATTGACATATATTCATGGTAGTTTTCGAGCTTCTAAAATTAATTTAGTGTGTTTAATCTGATTTGATCTCCGGTAGGAGATCATAGTAATCAGTTATTCCATGTGTTGCAATGTCGTCATCGTCCAAAGCAAGTTTCAACTGTAAGAGGAAAAAAAAAAAGACAACATTGAAGAAAAAAAAAACGAAATTCCTTCGAATAAATCCAAAAAATTACCATGCCAATGATTGGGCTGCCACCGCTTAGGAATCCCTTTTGTGTGGCTACAGTCACTTCCAATTCGGTGTTTTTCAATTCAGCCGACGAAATGATGTACTCAAATGTTGCATCATAAACCGGATCACATGAGTCTTTCATGACGATTGTTTTGCGTTTCGACTCTTTCGATCGTCCAGGCAACAAGTAAAGTTTAACGTACGGATCCGGTATGTTTGATGGATCTTTTGGCAATGGGATGTTACTATGCAAAATAAAGTGGAAATAATTTTAAAATTGAAAATAATTGAAAGCAATTGGCTGAAAGAAAGTTTATTGGGATAGAAACTCACACAATACGATGAATGGTGACCGATAAACGTTGTCGTTGTACACTGTACTGCAAACTGATTTGAATGCGACCCAATCCATGGGAACTCGCCGATGACTCTGTGCTAAACTGACGACGATGAAGTTCAGATTGTGGTTCATCCTTTAGCAAATAGGCCGCTTCGCTCGATATGAATTCAGTCACTTCAGATGCAACATCCTTGTCAACGATTTGTTCGACGCCACTACCCGATTCACTTGGCACCTCGGGTACTTTGGGAAAATCTGCTAATTTTACGTTTTTCACTTCCGAAACATCGGATTGCGATGCTTGGGATGCTTGACGCTGAATCATCGATGACTGAGACGCTTGACGATGAATCATTGGCGCTTCTGCTTGCGGTACGCTTGGTTCATTTGCCGATCTTTTCAAAATCTTCAATGCCATGGACATGATCACCTTAGAATTTGGGCCAGACTTCTGCAGTTGGAATGGTTGTGAGACAACTTGCAAATCATTTTTGGTCAACAAAGTGCTGAGAATGTACGTGAACTGGCCAAGATCTTTTTCCGTTTTCTGATCGACAATTTTCACTTGCAGCGTGTCGTTCTCTGGATTTCCTACCAAAAATGAGAATCCTTGCTCCCAAACTGGTGCATCAGTTCGTCTGAGTGCTGCCGTTTGACGAGTAGTTTTACCAACGCCGAGAATGGCATATGGATCCGGTTTGCTCTGAATACGAGCTTGACGTAGGTCACTGGCTGAATCAATGTAAACCGACAAAATGGCACTGCCCAAATTGGTTACACGCAAAAGCTGCGTTTCAACAAGGGCCTATTGAATCAAGAAATCGAAACGAAATCAATTGTATTTGAATTCTTTTCTTTTTTTCTTTTTTTTGTTATACTTACCGCCTGCAAATCAGCGGGGTTTGCCGATAATTCCAACCAGGTGCAACGGACGTGTAACATTCCATGCTTTGCTTGCTCAAGTGCTACCCACTAAAACGGGAAAATACATTGAAAATTCGTTCAATAGATTGGTCCGTCCAATTGAACCGTCCACGAAATAATTCGCTTCAAATTATCCACAAAAAATATAATTACCGTGTCCAATGTTCCATTCTTTACGACATTACTAATCTCAATCGTAGCTCTGGATAAAATAAATAAATTACCATATTAGCCAATTGAAGTGCATGAAATGGTGATGATAAATCGATGTGATGAAAATGTTCGAAATATAAAAATAAACTCAATATGTCTTTGTACACAAAATGGATTATACAACTGAAAATGAATGGAAGGTGCTTTTTTTTGTCGGTGTGGTTAGTTGAACGTGCTCTATGCCTGACCAATGTAATTACAAATGGATCTGTCTAAATATACACATAAATAAAACAATTGGATTTGATTGGACAAACAGAAAAAAAAATATTGAATAAGAAAGCAATCACCTTCCTAATGGATCATGTTCACCAGCTCGATCCCAATCTCGTAATTCAAACGATACGAGCGTTGGAAATTTAACATCAATGCAAGCCTGTAATTGGTTAGTGTTTTCGAAATTGTTTCATATTCGAATTTTCAACAGCACAAATTCATAGCGAATCATTTCAGCGAAAATGTGTGAGAATTTTTTTTTCAATTGATTATGCTTATTGGTTAAATTTTTAAATTATTGTACGCATTACAAAGACGAGGAAAAATTGATTAAAATAGTTATATTGGATGGATTATATTAGATGAGTCGAGAATAGAATTGAAACACAATAGAAAAGAGGCAGAAAAAGACAATAAAAGAAAACACCACGATATAATAAAGTGGACAAAACAAGGGCAAAACTTGAATGCAAGGCACACGGATTGAAACACCACCTTCCGAGAAAATCATCATTTTCCGGGCCGGGAAAACCAGCATCATAATCCCATAAACTGAATGCAACATCTTGACCTTTAGCCGCATCAATTTCATACTTTGTTCCATTTTAACGAGAAAAAAAATTCGATAAATTAAAAGAACCAAAATAAACAAACAGATACTAATAGATAGCTAAAATATATTATACTAGACTAAAGACCGAAGCAATATATTGTAGCATAAATCAAACCGTGAAGCACTACAGACTCGACTAAAAAGAGCCCATTGCAACCTAAAAAGGAAAGCTCTACCAATATATAGACACAACAGAAGATAGAGAGAAAAAAAAGAGTAACTATAATCTACGTTTGCATGAACAATAGAAAATTGTAAATAAATGGTTAATGTCTACATTCAAATCGTCTTGGGCGATTTGAATTCCATACACCAAGTAGTGTAGTAATGCACAAGTGTCTAGCTACTTTGCTAGTATGAGTGTGAAAGTATCTAAGAGGTTGAATAAGAAATAGAATAGAATCAAAATAATGGGTCATGTTCTGTGTGTGTGAGTGTAGAATGTATATATATCCTTGTACCAATTAGTGGTGTGATTGTGAGGTGAGTTTTGGAAGGGGAAACTGTCTGAAATTGGGTATTTGTTGTATTGTTTTTCAATGTACAACTGAGTTTTTAGTTTTCGACTGAATGAATTTTTGTTTGGTTTGAGTAATATATGGTTTGATTTGTGAACAAGTCTCACCTTCCCAAGTTTTCGTCGTCACTCGCTTCATCTTTGTCTAAAAGATGGAAACTGACGTATTGTCCAACTTCGAATTGTACGACTGCCTGATATAAAAATGGTCGGTTTTGGTATTGATTTGGTGTTATTTTCGAAAAACAAAATAATTCAACACAAAATTGAAATTAGAGAAACACAGCGAAGACAGACGAGAGAAAAGGAATGACAAATAAAAAAAAATTTATGGCTGATTTTGGACTACGAGGGGTTTTTTTTCAAGCAAATGAACATTCCATATATGAAAAGAATACATCGAATAGTAAAATCGACACATTCCCTGTTCCGTTTGGATTTTCGTCTATAGAGTTATCCTTTTTTACGATTGGGCATCATGCGGACTGGATTGTCATTTCCCAATGGGAATGGTTATTTTTCTTTCTCATCTGCGACAGTATAAATGTGTTTAGCGAAAGTTTATTTGGTGCTTTGAATTCAAAAGTCATTCGAACATATGCAAACGATAGCTGAATGGTGTTCTAGAAGCGTTTATAATCAAAAATTGCCTACTACTCGATTCATTACCATTGTTTAGAAAGTAAGAATAATAAAATCAAACTGGCTTAAAAGTGGTATTCAAATAAATAATCGGAATAAATGAAAATTCGATATTCGCACCATGGGAAAGAACCCAAAAATATTCACACCTTCTTTTAAAGTGAATAATGGAACACATCGAATTGACGACATTTGTCGAAACGTGTGACATTCCACATAAGTACCTCGCAGATAGACTTCAAATATCAATTTAAAGTTATTGACAACCTAGCTCAGATTGAAAGAAAAAACAAGTTTTAGGTGCAGAAGTGCATACCTCGCACCAGTAGTCCCATTTTGGATTGACCGTATTGTCAATGGTTTTTGTGCGGAATTCTTGCGCGCCAACTTGCACGATTGCATATGGGTCGCTCTTCCCTTTTCCTAGAACACCAATGTCTTTTTTCATCAAATCCTTTGCTTCGACCACGTGGATTCGCAGAACTCCCTGGAATAATCGAATGTTTGAATTTTAGTATTTTAAATTGTTGAATATTTTTGTGTGACTTCAAAGTTTACAAAAAAATACAATAAAAAATTTAAAGCCGACAACCAATGTTTGTATTCTAAAACTTACCTCTGGCTCTGGCATTTTTAAAGTAATCGATGGCACTTCAGTGCTAAGAGCAATTGGTAATTTATTTGGCAAAACCATAATCGCTCCAATTTGTTCAACAATAATACGACGTAGCATATCACTCAACCCTGGCATGTCCAACAAATCGGCCACACCAACTAAATTGAAGTCAATGTCTGGATTATTCAAGAAGAAAATTTGAAGTCCTCCGACCAGCGGAATTTTTGAAATGAGTGGCTTCATGATAACTCGAACCATTCCGTGAATTTGGAAATCTTTGATGCCAGCTCGCATACCAGCCAACTGGAAGTTGATGTCACAATCGCTCGCATAAAATAGATCCATATCCATGATGATCTCATTCCGTGCAATGTTTTTGTCATAGACTTTGACGCCACCGATACGAGGAGGAATTGTTCCAAGCATGATGCGATCGAATTTGAAGCCATTCAATTTGTATTCGGACAATGCTTCAGCCACTTTTGGTTCGATCACATCCTTAACCAAATCCTTTGCATAGTAGTTTGCATTTGGCCAAACTTGTTGCAAAATCTAAGGAGAAAAATGGAATAAATTGATCAAAATATTGGAATAAGCCAAGTGGGGACGTATTGCGTCATATCATAAAATATCGAAATAAGTATCAACTTCAATTAATATGACTAACTTACGCGATTGACCCATTCACATCGTTCAATATCGGGGAAATAAACCTAGAAGAGACAACTTAATTGAATTTTCTAATTTTCGTATATTCCAAAATATTCGAAATTACCCAAGCCGGTAAATCGTTGATTCGAGCCAAGATGACGTCTTTTTCGTTTGCTGTTGCCGACGCTTTGGCTACCTCTCGTTTGATTTTATTGGTTTTATTCCAGTATTCACGTGTTACAGCCAAAATAACGGGTGTAATCAACCATGCCACCGACCAATTCATGTATCCGACCAGATAAATGGCACCAACCATGCTTACTTTCTTCGCAATCGAATACAAAATCGTAAAAATGCTGTCATCACTCGTTGTTTGTTTTGGTTTTATGGGTGGTGCGGGGTCATCTTTCGATGCCTCTTTGCTAGCAGCCGCCATTTCGGATGTTGCCGTATCTTTACCCGTATTCAATTGCGTGAGATCTTCTTGGAAGTTATCATCGACTTCTTCCACACCCGAGCTCACTTCTTGTCCAACGGATGGCCTACGAAAATAAGTATATCAATCATGAACACTCAAGTCGAAAATGAGATTTAAGAACAAAAATGTCTGAAAATTATTATCACTTCATAAGAATGTCAGAAAAAGAAACAATGCAAAGCCGAAATAAATGAAATCATTTTTGTGTGTTATTTTCGTTGCTGATTGGTTTGGATTACGTAATCATACGGCGCAGTAAAAATATTTTCGACAACAATCGATATCGATTTATGAGCAATAGTGCTTGAACAAAATGAGGAGACAATAAAATAAATGGATTCATGAGTTGGGCACAACGAAACACAAATCAATGTGTGTATCAGTTCAATGTCACATTTCCATAACCAGCTGTTTGTTCATTTGTAAAACGAAACATGGAATCCGGCAAATATTTTATCGATAGGTTTTTTTTCTCGGAGAAATACGTTATCGTTAAATATATTTAGGTTGTGGCTCATTGTTCCAAAAACGAGTTTATGTTTAACGAAACACGAACAATTTAACGAACTGACCGCGAGCAATTTAAAATCGACCATGACCACATCTTAGCACCAATTTGTATACAAAGACTTTGAATATTGTGGATTCCAACTGAAAAAGAAACGAAAATTTTATTTTCGTTTCACCTATCGACTGTGAATTTAAATTGAACAAAAATAAAATGATTCAAGTCACTTGGAACACTCATATCCACACAAAATGGTAATCCATTTTATTTTCACCGAATTACATATGGTTTCGAACGAATATTTCTTTTCCAAAACGCTTCATCTCCTCTTGATGATTACTCACTGCAATTATTATCTGAAATTCGGCGCAAACTTGTTTTTAGCGAATAAAATTGAATGATTCAATAGGAACAAGTTATGCGATGAATAATATTCAGCAGACTGATGATCGCATCGATTTTTAACGCAGAAAAAAATGTCTTTGTTCGTTTCGTGTGACTGTGAATATTTTTGGGAGTTTCTCTTCCGAACAGCGTGTAAAATACGGTCGAATATGGTGGAGCGAAAAATGTATGTTGAAACTGTTGGGAATTGAGTGAGCGTGCGTCCAAGCTACGTATAAATAGAGAGAAGAGATACGCGCGCTCTAAACACCGTGTGTCTTTTTAGAACGGGTACTTATTACGCGTTCAGAAAAAACACGACTCAACAAAACGAAACAACGTCGGAGAATGATTTAATGTTTAATTACGAGATTGGATCCAAGTTGCTTTGTATATGAATTTTTCAATGCTGTCAGCACAAAAAAAAAGTTGGCCTGCGAATGTTTTCGAAAGAATCAAAGACGAACCTTGACATTGTTGTTGTACGGCGTTTATTCCACTTGAAAAAACAACTCTCAAATTGAGATTAGCTTTTTAAATTTTAAACACTTTTCTTTAAAACAAAATCTCTCGACTGCTGACCAAACTGCTTGTGAACGCCTTAGTGTCTGAACTTGCACTGAATCTGCTGCACAAATTTACTTATTTATTTCAAGATGACATAATCATTCACTTTGTTTTTTTTTTGTTAATTCCCTTACTTCTTCTCACCAGATTAATCACACATTTTTCTTATATTTAACTAACAATGATTCAAACGAATGCCAGCACAGCACAGCACAACCCAGTGGGTATTAATTATAGAATATCTTATTCTCTCTGCTAAAAAAAATGTGATGATTATTTTATACAAAGTGACGAACAATTTCGCAGAATGTTTAAACGAATTTATTTAATTTTCGCTTCATCAAGATGTGGCACAGTACTATTAAACACGAATGCGTTTGGTGTGCTGTTTTTGGCGTCTTGATTCTTTTACAGTAGCAAAGAAAAATATGGAATAATGCTTTGCGGCTACAGTTGCCGACATCCCAAATATATCAAAACAAATCATCAATACAACGATAGATTGAACACAATCGGACGCTATGTACTACATTGATACACCAACACAGCGTCGTCACCATCGTCGTCGTCGTCGTCGTCGTCGTCGTCGTCGTCGTCGCTCAAAATCAACGAGAGTTCAAAGCATGCATATAACGTTATTTTCTATATGTATATTGTGCGTCTTATTTGCACTGCGCCACTGTCCTCACGATCCACACCGGGGACTTCGGTCGTTCATTTCGCTGTAAACAGCAATGCAAAAAGACTCAGCTCGTATTTTAAAATACGCGCACATTTTTTCCTATACCAACATATACAGTGAGTGAGTTAGTTAATATCATGTGTCGTTGTATTTTGTTTACTAAAAGCAGCTTGGGAGTGAGAACTCATTCGATCATATTCGTTCCGTCTTTTTGCACGGTGCCTGATTTTCAAATCAAGTCGACGATATTGAACTGTGCATTTTTCGTTTGGAACGTTATAAATCATTCATAAAATCCGCTTGAACAATGCTCTTTTGCTGGTGCGGTAATCCACAGAACGACATATGTACGAAATGGGCTTGGCTTTATAATTACGGGATTCATAATTGAAATGTTCCGGAATGGCGAAAGAAAAATGCTTAGAAACTGACGATAGAACCATAAATTTTTAATCACTTTTCCACAAAATACTGTTGCACACCCATTTCGGTCATGATAGCCATTTGGCTACATATGCTCTTTTTATTATATACACAGGAATTGTTTACATGACTCCCATAAATGGATATGATATAAAATCTATATCAATAAAAAAAAATGCTCGATTGAATGAATTATTATAGATGGATGGACATGCAAGCGATTTTTTTTGTATCGCTTAGTCCAAAGCGATTAGCAAATGATATAATTATGTAGAATTCGTGTGAAGCCGTACACCGTACAATTGGCCACTTTCCATTTGATAGCAATGTAAATATGAATGAATTCAACTCAAGTACTTAAATTTAAATTACAGGCAATCAACATCAACATGCAATGGTGCTTTAAAATGATCTAATCAATGAAAAATCTATGAAAATTATGTTACCTTTTGCGACTTTGTAGCACAATAACGTTTTTCCTAAATGGAAATAAGACACAAATATTTGGAAACGGCATTTGACATGATCATTTGCCGTTATTTTTTGGGTGAAACTTTCAAACTAATTATGGGACAACTCAAAGAAAAACGAAAAATCGAGTAAAAATCCCACTAAAATACGATTTTTGAGAAAATTTGTACCATTTTCCAGGTGTAAAATTGACACGCAATAATTAACTTGAAGTAGGCCAAAACAAACCACATTTAGGGGGTGGAAATGTCAATCAGATGTTGTGATAGTAGCAATTGCGCAAATTCCAATTCGGAATGAATCAGATGTTTTATGGCGCTAACGTGTATAATGTTCGATTTATTGTGAAACATCAAAGGACAGCTACTTTCATACATTGCAACCTAACCTAAATTCACTGTAAAATTATTTCCACCAAAAAATTTCCGACAAATTAATTTTAAAATAAACTTTTTCTGCAAAATGAACCAAAAATATGAGAATCGTAAAATTTGAATTGATTTTTCAGTGTCTGTAATATCGATGACGTCGATGTATAGTTTCGAAATGTCAAAGTGAGTGGCAACATAATGAAAAAAAAGCCGCCAAAACACTCGCAAACATCGTTGACACCGGTTTCATAAACATTTATTGCGTTTTCTCTCGAAATTCATAAAAAAAGATGCAGGCATACCTGAAAACGGGCAAAGTTGGCGGTGGATTTGCCAAACCGAGCACATCGTCTGGCAAAGAATCAGAAATTAATGCCAAAAAAATCGTTCCTTGGGTTGAAAAATAGTAAGTGATTGACATTTTCTGAACATTTCTTTTTAACCACTTTGAAATCGTGTTAATGTTAAAATTCATAATATGAAGTTGATTGAAATGAAAGAGAATGATCAAATATGAATGATTTTCAGCCGGCCAAAGAAAGTCGATGATGTGGTTGAACAAAAAGAGGTGGTTGCCGTTCTGAAAGACTCTCTGACGGGTGCAGATTTGCCAAATTTATTACTGTACGGACCACCAGGTAAATGAACTATTCAATGCAAAATTCAATTTACACAAATCAAATTGTCCTAATTGTACATTCGCAGGTACTGGAAAAACATCGACAATTCTGGCTGCCTCCCGTCAGTTGTTCGGTGACATTTACAAAGAAAGAATTTTGGAGCTGAATGCCTCCGATCAGCGTGGTATTGATGTTATTCGAACCAAAGTCAAAAACTTTGCACAGTTGACAGCAAGTTCCGTTCGACCAGAGTGAGCATTTATGTAGTATTATTTATAGCTTTTCACCATCCAAACTCTCTGTTACCTTGCAATTACCCTAATTTATCCCAATTATTCTAATTTACGCCTTCGTTTCTTCTCTCTCCAGCGGCAAACCATGTCCGCCATTCAAAATCATTATTCTTGACGAGGCCGATTCCATGACACATGCCGCTCAAGCGGCTCTACGTCGAACAATGGAAAAAGAAAGCAAAACGACCCGATTCTGTTTGGTATGCAACTATGTATCTCGAATTATTGAGCCAATCACATCGCGTTGCACGAAATTCCGTTTCAAGGCACTTGCCCGTGATAAAATAATCGAGCGTTTACAGTACATTTGCCGTGAAGAGAATGTGGCCATCGACAACGATGTGTTCGACATAATTGTTGACATTTCTGACGGTGACATGCGTCGTGCCATCACAACATTGCAATCATGCTTCCGTCTCAAAGTCGGCCAAGGAAACGTCACAAAAACTGACATCTTCGAAATGAGCGGTTTGATCCCCGACAAATACTTGTCAGACTTTTTGGAAGTGTGCAAAAAAGGCGATTACAGCAAACTTGAAGCATACGTACAAGACATTCAATACGAAGCATACTCCATTGCCCAATTCTTCGAGCAGTTCAACGATTATGTGATTACAAGCAAGGCGCTGACGTGCAAGCAAAAGGCGGCAATTTGCGATAAATTGGGTGAATGCTGTTTTCGTATGCAAGAAGGTGGTTCAGAGTACCTACAAATCATGGACTTGGGCTGCAACATTATTCGAACAGTTCAAGCCTAAGAAGAAAATCCCATTCATTTCATTTCATTTCCATTACGTTGTAACTCGAGTTTATTTGTTATGATTTACCATTTCTTTTCTAAATAAAATTATTCTCAAAACTTATTTACATATTAAAAATTTAATCTTAATTTTAACACGTGTTTTGACGATTGGAATTGAAATTTGTTCCAGCGATTGAAGTTATAAAAAAAAAAAAAAAGAATTGGTTCAACTGACGACACAACCGGAGTAAAGTCGGAAAGTGGTGTCCATATCGTTTGTACTTAACCAACAGGCTCAAATTCCTCTTCATACTCAAAGTCTTCGTCGTCTCGTTTTCTTTTCATGCCCCGAGAATCGTTACTGTAATCATCTTCGACTTCCATTTTGATGTTCATTTGATGATTATTGGAAAGTGAGATGGCCGGTTGCGATGAGCTTGAGGCACTGCCATTAGAGCTACCATTTGTATTGGCACTGACTTTGAACGTTGGCTTTGGTATGGTGACAGTTTGTGACTTTCCTGAATTTGACATCGACTGACGCTTGAGAATGGTTGAACCGGTGGATTTGTTCTTTCGATCCAATGCTGATTTGCCCATTTTCTTGGGGTGCACCTCAGCTGCACGGAGTTTGTAGTTGGCCGAGAGAAGACAGTGTCGCTCCGGTGGTAAACGTAGGCCACAATGTGTTTTAATCAAAGGTAATGGAGTTGCGTTACGGCTACGAGCTAATTCTAATAAAACCTAAAAATCACCCAGCAACGAAACGCTTTTGTTAGTGGAAATGGAATATTGAATGCTGTAAATGGTTACCTCTCTCGGTGGCGGTGTTGTGAACGCTTTTTCCAGTGTCATTTGTGAAGCCAATTTCACATCGTCCAATTCGATCACTTTTTTCTTTGCATGATTTGCATACACTTTAGCATCATCCAAAATGCAGGTGACGTATCCTAATGAAGAAAAATGAATACAAAGCCATTAGAGTCCATTTGTGGTGAGGTTATGCCAAACTGGGCAGCCAATGTGTATACATACGGTAAGTGAACTCGAGCAGTTGATTTATAACCCGTGGTTCGTATTCAATCACATTCAATTCCTTCATTATGGACATAAGAACTTGTGCATCTTTGGGAATATGCTTCACTGAGCTGTTTGTTTTTGATTTATCGTATTTTTCTCGTTCGGACGCCATTGCTACTGTTCGCTGTTCACTCACTCAGTTTATACTAAATATTTTGGTATTCACTTTGTCAGTTTTGGTCGTCTCTCGTATAATTTCTTTGACGCGTCAAATGTCATTAGGTGGCAGCGCCATCAAGCGGGAAAAAAGTCATTGGCTAAGCCATTCACAGTAGAACCATTTAAAAACGATTCATCGCAATGTTATTCAAACGAAATGGAATTCTTGGTGATGACAAATTCATATGATTCGCTCAAGTGCAACGATCTTTGATTGACTCAGTGCTTCCGATTGGAGCCGTGCAAATTAATATCCAAATAACCGCAATGACTAATTGATCGTAGGCATATTCCACAGCGATAGCTCACCGACAAGGAAATAAGACGAGTAAAAGTGAACAAAGAATCGGACAAAACAGAAATTGTTTCGATGGGTTTATTGAATGCAGCCGGGCGTGTGACAATGACACAAATGCGCAACAAGTGACCATTTTTTGTTGTTTTTTTTGTGTCATTTTACGGTGCATGTGAGTGTGCCCCGAGTCGAGTGAGTGCTCACAACTCCGATTCGATAAAAAGTCAAAGCAGAAAGCAGCAGCAGCAGCAGCAACAACAACAACAACAAAAAACATCGTTGATTGTTTCGGTTTAGTGTGTCTCTTATTCATAGCTGTTACTGTTGTCGACTGTATTGTGTGTATCTGGTTTTTAATGATTCTCTTTTCTCTCTCTCTCTCTCTCTCTCTCTCTCTCTCTCTCTCTCTTTGTCCAACGATCATATCGTACACAAATTTGCCGCACACACCAACACACTCACACACAGACCGTTTTCGATCGAAGCATACATGAAACGCTCTCAGAGCACAACAGGAATTGAGATTGTATCACAATTGTTGGGCTCAGTTGTTATTTAGCTGTTGTCACAGACGAAAACGTATTTCGCTCATCGGCACTCCAAGTAGTTCCACACATAAAAATACAGAAAAAAACGACTTCATTAACTCGCACGGTGTGTTGTTATTTTTTTTTTCTTTTTTTCACTTTTATGCACGTTGTTTTGTCGTGTTGTTGTTAATTTTGATTTTTAATTCCGTCACTGTAATTTCCACTTTGCAATCATTTGTTTCGGTTGATTGTGTCGCGCGTTGATTTTCGTTTCCGCGAAAGTAAAGACTTGTCGTTCAGTTTTCCATGAACGCGCGATTAAGAAACGTTAATTTATTATCTACCCGTAAATGTCATCAGTTTGTGTTTGAAACAGTTTTTGTTTTTAATTCTCGTCTCTAGTACAAATATCATATGGGTGTTTAATTCAAACCATTAAGAAATTGCTCGATTTTTTCTTTATTTTGGAGTTGAATTTAAAAATAAGTTACCTTTTTTGCTAGTTTTGAGTTCAAAGTCGGTGGAAAAATCTATTTTTGGCGCAAGATTAATGCTATACGATTAAAAAGAACAACGGAATTACTAAAACAAAAAAATTTCTACGTACACACATAATTGTTAATCAAACATTTATGTACACGCATAATGACGGACGAATTGTTTTTTAAATGCCGAGAATTTAAGCCAAAATAAATGAGCTACCTATTTTAAACCACTTGTTGTGTGTGACCTAAAAAAAGCATTGGAATAAACTCAATGCACGAATATTTCAATTTACACGTAACACAATGAACGGAAAAGGTTGATGGGAGAGTATTTAATGAGGTTCATTTGCTTTCTACCTTCACTCGTTATCATCGATCGCTATCTCGTCCAACTCAATCAAATTTCCTCCTTCGGTTAGAAAGTGAATTGTGTGTCTGTGTTTTTTTCCATCGCTCTTATTGTGTGAGCCATTGATCAAGTATTACGAAAGATATTTAAAACAACATCGTCGTCGTCATCACGTCGAGAATAACGAGAAGGTGTCATTTCTGTTTAAATATGGCAAATTCATAAACAATTAGTACCGAGTTAATCTTATCTGATTTCGCAGAACAATAATCGAATTCCAACCAAGAATTTGGGTGTTCATATACAAATTTAGTTGGTTTCGTAAATGAATTGCTCTCACTGTTGACTCACAAATAAAACTCCAAGAAACAAATCGTAAATTAGATGAATCAAAGCACAACAGCGTTTGACCAACAGAAAATTGCATCAATTCCATGCTGTGATTCAGTCAGAACACAATAAATAAAACATCAATTGTATATCACATGTTTGATATGTGTATTTGTGCGTGTGGCTTCTGACGCCAACCGTATCAGTGACGCGAGTGTGTGACTAATATTGAGACGAGTACTGAAGGCTGTTCCGATATCGGAGAATGAGAAAAACATATTTCAATACTGATGATTTAACTCATAACATCAATTGTATATCGTTTTTTGGGCAAACGGTCAAAACGTTTGCTGTAGTAATGTTTCATGTAATCTCCGTTTGTAATGATTCAAGTGGTTCGTCATGCTTACTCAGTTGATTGAATTGTGTAATGTGGCAGAACTGATCTAATTGATGCACATGTCGAAATCAAAAGTTTTGACCGCGATTCAGTTCAAACACCGCGATGCAAATTCCTCCAGTGTTCGTCGAAATGATTTTAACGTTTTTATTCTCATTTCGTTGACGATTCCATTTTTTTCTTTCTTTTTTTTCTCGCTCTTCACATAAACACACTCCATTTAGTTTCTATTGAAAAAAGTTACGTGCCAAGCCTGGATTTTGCCAATCGTAAGCATAAGATCGGTCGATCAAATGAGAATACGAATAAGAGAATGAAGAGAAGTGAAGAGAAGTGAAGAGAAGAAAATATTATGTAAATATCAAAATGGTTTCGAGCCATAAATCGATGCAAAGCATTTATCAAGTGATATTCATATTCGATTTTGTTTAAGGCCTTCATATTCTTATTCTTATTCTTTCGTTGGTGTATGTGTACAAAGAAAAAAAGGACACAAACTCACTCGGAGACATAATAAAAATATTGAAATTCTGTGCGTATGCAGTTTTTTGTTTTCCCTTTTTCATGTTGTGGTATACCGACCGCTCCATTCATCTCTCGTCTACGTTTTTTGTATAACAAATCAACAGGCGTGAGCGTTCGCGCTAGTGAGTGAGTGAGTGAGCGAGCGATAAACGCCGACATTTTACGATACACACACAAAAGAAAGAGAAACTTCAACAGTATAATAAATGATTTGATTACTGGCTGGCTGACTGCACATACAAGCCGAAAATGTCTTCATATACGATCAGTCAGCCCATTCAAACATTTGTCACTTTTATTTATCCGTTTGGAAATATCAAAGCTATTGTCTGAAGGGAAAAAACCCACAGCAAAATACAACGCACGTTTCGATCGGAAAATAATATCGAGAAAAAAACGACAACCAGATACACGCTAAAATGCACAAGAGGAAGTGTGATAACGCATTACTATAGGGAACCTTTTTGAATTTCTAAACGGATGCATTCGAATGCTCGTTTGCACATAGCGACAGAGAGATTGTCAATCAAATCGTGAAAGAACTCTCTATGCACACAAAACACATACAAATAACGAATACATTGTTCCGAAGAACGGTCATTGCGTTGAATTTTGTTTTAATATATTGCTCAAGAAAAGGTCGATAAGTCACTTCATTTGATTGCCTTTGCGAGTAAATGGCCGTTGAACGTGGGCGTGAGTTCAACAAAAAAAAAATTCCGCCGAAAAAAAAACGATTTTGTTTTCTATCGTCTTCTGAAACAGCTTTGTTTATTCTTCGCTTTCATTGAAAGACGATGAACGGTGTATAAAAATATCGAGTAAATAATGAAAAAAAAATGGAGTTATGTCTCCTGTGGAATTTGGCAAACAAAAAACTGATTGAAAAGCATCGAGGTTAATGCTTTTTCGAATAAAAAAAAATGCAATCAAACATTTTGGATGTAAACAGAGAAATGGTGTTTTTCTCTTCTCTTCAGGCCGGAATGTTATTTAAAGAAAATGGCAAATGGTGTGTATTATGTTTAATGTTATTACGAGGAAGAATCAGCATGTGTCTCACGTAGCTAAACAAATGTTCGCCTCAACAATAATTGCTTTTTGCAATTGCTAGCACTAATGGAATCTCGGGAAAACTATACATTTGTGCCTAGCCATGCTAATTATAATCGGGCTCGATTTGCGGCCTATATTGAATTGTTTGTGTATGGCTTAAGAAACGCCTTATCTTCGTTGTCTTTTGTGGCAATTGCCAACAACAAGAGAGAGATAGAGAGAAAGAAAGGCAGACTAAAAGGAAATCGATAACTACGATAACCAATCTAATCGTCGTTTGTGCTGGATATCGAATATGTGACGATGTCTTAAATGTTGACTTTATTTGCAGTTTCTAAATTATTGATATCAAAGTGTAAACAGACCCATGTTTGATATAGCATACGCAAAGAGACGAAGAAATTTTATATCTTTAGATATTTTATTCAAAAAGACCGGTTGATTGCCCGTACACGCATTTTATTTTTCGTCTGTGTGTGTGATTTTAGAAAATTTCGTTCGGTGTACCATTCAAGTGTCAGTTTGCAAGCGTGAACCGGTCTTTCGTTTAATTAATTTATGGCATCAAAATGTCTTTTCATTTTTCCCCGCGTGCGAATACAACACAAAGAAATCACAATGATTATTCAAAACGAGGGGCTTATTTATCATCGCAAGTGAGTACTGAATCGCACAAAGGAGGAAAATAGTTTTTACATCATTTTGGCGTCTCCACTCTCTCCGTCTATTTTTGCATTGAGACTTGAAGTCTCAAATGCAAATCTATATGGTGGAAATGGAGACGTCAAACTGATGTTTCAAATGTACGGGAGACTATCGTCGTCCTTTATGCAAATTCACTCGCGAGTTCAATCACAGAAAGTACAGCGTTATCATAACGAATCAAGGCGAGTCAGTGCGAGTTAGACGAATTTTTTTTTTTTTTTCGAAAAAAAAACAGTGATTCGGAAACTCATATGGAAGACTCGCACAATTGCCTAAATTTTTCGTATCGACTCGTAAGATTGGCATGACACATAAGCTCCTCGATTCAAAAGTTGTACATTCTCTTCGTTTGCGTACGTTTCCAACTCCGTAGGCTTGCACTCAATTCTCGCACACTCATAAAAATTATCGTCAATTTGACGGTTAATTGAGACAAATATACTTGTTGTATGTATATATACACGTATATGCAGCAGCGGCAAAATGATGACCTCAATTAAAGCACTTTAAAAGACACATTTTTCACTTGAGTAACGAAGATGTGGCGGCGGCGGCGGTGACAGTGGTGTTTAGGGAATCGGAAAGAATTTCACATGTTTATTTATATAGTTGTGCATTTTCATTCATTGCAGAAGACGCAAGCTGTAAAACGCACAATTTGAAACCAAGAAGAAAAGAAACACAAGCGCAGAACAGTAGCAGAGAGAAGATAAAGGAAGCAAACACGTCGCTGAGACAATAAAAAAACGCAAATCACCACACAATGAGTTCGAATTTGCGCCCGCTTAAAATAACTACGGTCGGCGATGGTATGGTCGGCAAAACGTGCCTGCTCATCACATACACCCAAAATGAATTTCCTCAGGAATATGTTCCAACGGTGTTCGACAATCACGCGTGCAACATCACCGTTGACGGCAAAGAGTTTGCACTCACACTATGGGACACAGCCGGTATGCAGCCCATTTTGCTTGTTTCAAAATATAATGCATTTTAATCTTTTACAAATTCAAGTTTTTAAACTAAAATACTGTTTTCACTTCTTTAAATATTATAGGGCAAGAGGACTATGAACGATTGCGGCCGCTAAGCTATCCAAATGTAAGTGGTGAAAAAAGTTGAAAATTTAATTATTAATTCATTAAAATCGCATAAATTGTGCAATTGAATATGTCACGTACGATGTTTGAAAGTTGATAAACGATCACATCTAAGTCGAACGGGTATTTTTAGAACCAAACAATAGTATGAACTGATTTGTTTCTTTCTTTCTTATTCAGACGGATTGTTTCTTGGTTTGCTATTCGATATCCAGCAAAACATCTTTCGACAATGTGCTGTCAAAGTGGTACCCGGAAATTCGGCACTTTTCACCAAGTGTTCCGATCATCCTTGTTGGTGAGTATTACACTACGGCATTCTTAAATGATTCTAGAATGAAAATGGTGTGGTAGACAATGGTTTTGCCCGATAAATAGAAATCAGCTCATAATCCATGTTGTTCGACATTTTAGGTACAAAAAGTGATCTACGCATTCCACATTCCGAGAAATTCGTGACATTGCACGAAGCAAAGAAGTTGAAGCAGAAAATCAAGGCATTTTCCCTGATCGAGTGTTCAGCGAAAAAGAAACAAAACCTCGAAGATGTATTCCATGAAGCCGTACGTGCCGTAGTGAAAAAGCCAAATGTTAAACAACGTGCATGCATAATACTCTAAAATGTCGATGCAGAATAAAAAAAAACCGCACAGCAAACACACAAAACTATCGAATACATGTACACTTTGTGCCGCTCTCACTCCTCATGATTCTTCTTTTTTTTTCTCAACAAAAAAAAACACACATGGATTGAAATGCATGGACATTTCTCAAACAAATTACTACTACAAGAAAAGTCATCGCATATGTTAATTCATCCATTCCCTCGCCGGTACGAAACAATGAAAAAAAATATCAGTACCAACAACAATAATGACTCTCATATATACTTAACGTATCTTTTTCTCGATTTTTTTTCTTCTGTTGTTGTTGTCGTTATGAAGTCCAAATAGAATAAAGACCATTACAATGGCAACAAAAGGCATCGAATGCGTGGCATTTATGCAAAGAGAGAATTTGAAAAAGGATCCGAAATATTTCATTCACATGTAAATAATTCCATTCTGGCATCCACTTGATATTTGTTCGTTTCAATTTATGAGCGAACAACCCAAAAAGAACGAAAAACAAAACAGATGTGGCAAATAAATCATATGCTCCGAACTTTAGAATGCTCAACATGAGCTGCTCGCAAAAAATGTATTGAACATAGCCTGTTCATGTGAACTGAAAATGATCCAGCTCCTCATTGCAAGACATATTCATTCAAACACATTTTCTACAAATGATTTTTAAAAAACAGACCAAATCATTTCCCGATTGAAGTAAGGCGTTTCATACTATTTCCATTTCAAATCGATTTTCTTCCTCTAAAATTTCGTTGAATCGATTGTAATTGTGCAGGTATCATACTGAGGTCAATCTAAAAAAAACTATATTTAGATAAACACTTATTTTGTAGAAGTATAAGCCGATTATACGGGCTAATGTGAAATATAAATCAATATTTTATTCAATATTTTTTTTTGTACATCATTTAATTGTAAAATCACCCAGTCATTTTTGATAAAAATGTATTTTGCGTGTAAGATTTTAAGTAGAAGATCCAGATCAAAGAAAAACCAACCAACCAACCAACCATTTATATTTTGTATTAAGTAAATGTTTTCATTAAAACGATGAGACCATAAAATCGCTCAATGTTTTACTACATTATCTAATCTCAATCGATTTGGCAATGGAAAAATGATTTATTTGCTTGTCGTTTGCAAGGAAAAAAAAAGTCGCTTTGAATTGGTGAGTGTAGTCAGCGCCATCTATTGGGAGAAAAATGTGCGTATGAACAATGAGAGAGAGATGGTTATATATGATGAGCGAAAGGGCCTTATACACAATCCAAAAGGTAATTTCAAAAAGTGACATTTCAACTGACGCATGCGATTCGTCAACCGCTTTTTATCCATACAGATACATCTCAACCAATTCGATGTATACTTGAAACTATTTTGTATGGAATTCTTGGTGTGTTCCATGGGCAAAATAACAATCCATCACACATAAAACTATATAGATTCTTTCCACATTTACGATTGAAAATCGTAACGGGATCGGTAGTGATAAACATCTAGTGTTTCTTTTTCATTGTTCTTTGTATTTTCTTCACTTGCCACTGCATTTCGATCATAAATATTCGATATCGTGCTAAAACCATTCGCTAAACACAATGGCAAATAAATTCAATGTTCTGTAATATTGTTTTTTTTCTCTCCTCTGTTACCGTGTTGATAATTTAGCAAAAAATAGAAAGAAAACTTGTTGAAAATTTGTGTGAATGAAATTTCGACTGTTTTTGCCATAGACAATGAATGAATGAATGAATGTCAAAGTGATTTTTATTGGTGCTTTGAAACTGAAATAAAATACCATGCAAAACTAAGTGCAAGAAAAATCAATGATAATTGAAACTTCGAGTGGCGCAATGCACATAAAAAAGAAAGCACCACCACTGAAGGTATAGAACGAATAACAAAAAGAACAGAAAATACACTCGAAACGTTGCTCTTTGAAGTTGGAGTACATTCAATCGGAGTGTATTCCGTATTTTTCAAGCCAGTGTACAGTTCGTTCGTACGCTAAGTCCTGTGTTTGCATTTGTAAATTTTCGGTTGGCAAAATTGGCACTGGGTTTGATTATAGAGCTTATGACACTTTTTTTTGCTGTTCATTGAAAAAGTTTGCTACGCTTACAAGGATACAGTGTGTGTGTTTATCATCTACGTTCCAGACTTTTGGCTACTTTAAAACGATCAAAGTTTTATTTGATATGCATTTTAAAGTTTTGTGTTGACGTTGAAAAATACCGAGTAATATTTCGATATGAAAACAAAGTTGATTTCGATGCAATGGCGCGGCTGTGCCTCAGTTGATCCCCGATTTTCGGCGGCAATGCTGCCATGGACTATTGCTGATATTTACAGTCGTGAACAGTTTACAAATGTAAGTAGAAAATGCGTCCTGAAACTAAAAATAGCATTTTTCTTAGTCGAAAACATAACAAGTTATTTACGTTATCATATAATTAAAATCGTTGTCCTTGAGCATAGAACGTTTTTCTTCGTAGTTTGAGCGAGGTTTTTTCCCCAAAAGAACCAATCAAATTAACCGAATTTCAGCTGAATATCGATTAATCTTAATTTGTATAACACCGAAATTCGATATAAGCCCTGTAATTTCGGAATCACGCATATTAATAGCATTTTCGTAATTTGTTTGTTTAGCTATCGATCGGCATAGAAAATGGTGTTCTTGAGACGTACAATGAGGATTTTGAGCTTCAGTTCACGCATCAACTCAAATATATTGTGGGCATTTGCAAAATAGCTACGGCTCAAAATGCGGTGAACTGCAAAAGTAAACTCACGGAATTTATAACATTCCCAAATCGACGGCCCCAATCCACCATAATCGACGAAGTGAACGCCAAGGCTGGCGTTCATGGTATCGTCTACTTATTGAAGAATCCCCGAGATCCATTGCTGCATGTATTTTTATTCGAGAGTCCACATTTGGAGCAGGTAAGTCAATCTAAATCAATTCGTAGAAGAGAAAAAGATACAACACAAATCCCAAGCGAATAAACAACAACTCAGGCAAAATATTTTTTTTTGGTATATTTCCTAATATCGAGTGCTCGACATGGTACAACGGCTTTTTCATTCGAATTGTAACATGTGCCGTAATTGGTAGCACGAAAAAAGGTCAAAATGACATTTGAAAGATAACAGCCGCATTTTATTCATTTTATCGCAAAAAACGTGCAGCTAATTAATAATAATTGATTTCCTTCACTATTTCGAGTCATATTTCGTTAAATGTTCAAGCTCTTGTAATCACATAAACTCTCCCCGAAAATTAATGAAACGTAAACAAAGCATATTCCAATGATACGAAATACTGTTTACAAATCCACCGAAGGATAAATTGCAAAAAAAAGCAGTACAAATCCTGTATGCGATTAATGCCCTACATTTCAAACACGCAGGTGCCAATCGGTCTAAAACGTGATAGCACTCACAATGAACGTGTTTCGCGCAAAGCACACTCACACAACACAATCGCTCACGGTTATTTTGCCTGTATTCGTTACATTCGAAATGATTATTATTTGACTCGGTGTTTTTCTTTTCGTTTGTTTTCGACTTGTTTCCTTCGTGCATTTCACCAACAGCCAGAATGATTTTCACGTTTCAGTCGCATGCTATGCTTTCATAAACAGACAGATATTATTCAGTTGAATAATATTCACCCCAGAGTGCTGCTTCTGTAATAATTCTAATGTCCACTCGTACAAAATGTATGTAGCAATCGATTGGTGAGCAAAATGAAATCAAATACGAATTAAATATGTCACAGTCCAAAGAGATCTCAATCGAAGAACCGCATAAACATCGCGCATGTGGCTGTTTTTATCGATCAAAGCACATTCGAATAGAGTTGAACCATTAACCGATGTTAAACGATGATATGATTGTCAACCAACGCCCAACAATTATTGACAAACGCTCAACATTGATGGGTATTACCCAAAATCATTCAAATACCTATTCATTTCATTCAATAGCTTTATGATATCGATTACAATTTGGCGCGACGAATGAATTGAAAGCAGTGTTCACGTTTACCGTATGTCTAATGAACGAATTAAAAATGTATGACAACCATTCATGCGGTTGATGATCGTGGCGAAAAAAAAGGACTCGGTTCGGTTTCGTTTCGTTTGAGTTAATATGACTTATTGGCAAACTGCAGTTTCATGCAATTGTCATTTTGTATCACGATGAAATCACATGCAATCTTTGAACGCTATTGGCATTCCCCGCTCGTTTCTTTTCTTTTCTTCGTTTTTTGTGATACATTGAGAGCTTTTGATGTACATGCGAGCAATAAAAACCACTGAATTCTTCGAATTTCACTAAATTCAAATCAAAACAGTATTTTCCACATCTCGTTCTTTCTTGCGCTGAACGTGTGGTCGTACATGTGTTTTCTATCATGGCCATGACTAAAATGTGCACATGATGATTGCAGAATTTTCATTTAAATTGAAAAAGTTCAAAAAGTCGCGTAATTTTATGGAAATTCATTTTGCTGATATGGAAATCACTTCATCCAATGACAGTTACTAAATTGCTGCATATACTATTCTCACGATAAAACACCTACATGCCTTGCTGAGCGGCCCCCTTTCTCCAACGGCCTCATGAGCTCTCTCTCTCTCTCTCTCTCTCTTCTCGTTCTCAACGTCTTTTTTGGCAGCATATTTTGTTTTTGTTGTTGCAGTGACAAAGTCAACGAATAGAAAAATAAACAACGGCGCGATTATTTTCCGCTCAACGAATACAAGCTTGGCTGTTCGACTCGTTCCCTCTGGTGTATGTGTCGAAATAGTTATTCTTGGCCGAGAGCCAATTCGATGCTTGCTATATGTGTGTATATATATTGAGGACGGAGAATTTATGGGAAAAATATCATTTTTAAATTTTTCACAAGAGATACTAAAAAGCAGCAAGCAAACAAAGAACGAAAACGGCATCAGACTGTCTGTGCGATGCAAATTCACTTCAAGTTCAATCCAAAAATGGTTTCCAGCCTGTGAGCTAAAGCTGATCAAATATGTTGAAAAAAATTTGAGTCACATTTCAATAACATCATGCATTCAGAAATTGCAATGGCTGACGAGGGAATTCGATTAATGAACCGGAGATAACCGAACTTCGGTTCAAACTTGCTCACCGTTCAAGTCAACTACTATGCACATTTCAAATTAAATTTGTTTCGAATTTATTGTGTTGTTTTTTTTTGTCGCTTGCTCAAGTAAATATATAGAACTCATATATTTCAATTCGAAACTTGTTCACCTTTTTCAAATGTGCTGTGTCAACGTAGAATTTGTTATTCTCCGCAGGCCGTGCGCCCGCAACAACCCAGATGCACACAGATGCCAGTCTCAGAGCGACGAAGAAACAGAGCGCGATTTGATTGCTTTCAAGAGAAAAAAAAATTGAGCAAAAATGATTGAAAAACAGCAAAAGTCTGTAATAAATTTCAATATTCATCATACTGATGCTTACTAAGCATTGCTTATCACTATAGTGAATGTTTAGATACTTAGTGCGCTCTGAATAATATTGACGGAAAATAACATATTCAAGGCACATGGTAAACAATCACCATAGGCAAAAATTAAAGAGTAATCCCAAGAATTCTCATTGCAAAATATCCTGTTTATCTCTTGTGGCGTGAGAAATAAACAACATAATAAGAGTGTTTGATTGTTTTGCTCGTGCTGAGGCTGTCACATGCATGTATGTTTTTCTGTTGATTCGCAGTGCACGCGAACGTGTGACTTGATTTGTTTTGCGTAGCTTTTTATGTTAATTTGATAATTTATTCATCAAGAAAATGATCAGTGGCGCGTATGCGTCCGTTCGCACACAGCCTCCTTATCCGTTTATCTGTCGTTAGATACGTTTAAGTTTTTTTATCTCTCGGCCGTGTGCGAGAGAGCGACTCACATTGATTTTCATGACAAACACAAATTTTTGCGCTCCCAGTGAGTGAACTCTCTTAAAATGTGTATGCGTATGTGTATGTATATGCATGATAAATCTAGTAGCAGCTTTCACACACACTCGGTGCCAATGACAAAATCAACGACAATAACATTAAATAAGGTATCTACGATACGATCCAAAAACCTTTATTTTAATATTCAATTGCTAAAGACAGTGTTTTTCGTTCGCTTCTCGGTAGACATGTGTGTGAGAGCATGTATACGAAGAGAGAGTGTTGGCTGATTCTGAGAGTGTCTCTCTATCGTTTCGCTTGCGTCGACTTTTTGCGGTCACCATTCCCAATACGTTCGGTTGAACGTTCAGTTGAAATTTTATCGTCGATCGGTTTGAAAGTTTTGCTCAGCAGCAGCAGCAGCAGCAGCAGCACCGCAGTCACAAAATTCGAACAGGAATCCAAATCAAATTACAAAGCTCACCACATTTAAATGTGATATTTTACGACGCGCTTCGTATATTTGCATACATAGAGCATAGGCAGAGAAAGAGAGAGATACAGAGCAACGGAAAAACTGCGGTTCTAAATTTAGTCAAGTTTTTAAACGTAAGAAAGTATTGAATACGCTGTTTGAATCAGATAGCTTGTTTAATTTGTGGATGAAATTGATTCAACGGCAATGTGATAAAAAGAAACTCGATTCGAGTGAAAACCAGAAACTATTTGGATTGAAAAAATAAGTAGAAGAATAAAATACACAAAGAGAAAAAGAGATAAAAAGTGAACGGATTTAATGTGCCCAAGAAATTTAATTCGAAACTCATTTCCAAGCTGAACAATAGCGCTCTTGCAATTTGATTATTTTTTTTAATTGTTTCGTTTCTTGTTCGAGCAAAAAGATAATTACTCGACTTTACAAAACGCAATTGATTGATTGAAGAATTTACTTACAACGATGTTTTATCATTATTAAAAGCAAATTATCTGCTCGATTTTGAATCGTGAGTGAATTTATTCGTAACAAAATAAGTGGTAATTTCACATTCAACAGAGAAAATTGAATAAATATTGAATGATAGAAAACTCCAACAGCAAAACTCAACAGAGAAAACTGCATATATCTGAATCTAGATGTGGTAAATCGGTTTACTGTAAAATAAACATTGGCCAAAGACATTGAGACGGAATAGCTGACTAACTACACCAACGGGATTCAAAAGTGACTACGGCGACGACGAAATTCTTCTTCGCTTGAGCGGTAAATTATTATTACATTTTCACGTCTCTTTTACATCACTCAAAACAAATTATATTTTCCAAGCGGACACAAGCAACAATCATGTTTACAATACCGTTTCATCGTGATAATATTTTAATAAGTTCCATGAGTGATGCATCAACACTGTCAGTGCCGAAGCGTCGATATGTATGTGTGATTAATGAGTTGTACTTTTGCACAGCCGCGTGCCCAATTTGAATGCATCACCATTTATTGTTGATGTTGCTCATAAAAAGGGGTTCAATAATTCTTTAACAACAATATCCGTGAAATTTGTAAAAAATCAATTGAAACCGCAAAACAATATTAATCCTATCGAAACCGGCTTTGCTTATGCCGTAACGGACTCAACTCATTTAACTATACTCATTATCGTTATAAATTGCTTGTTCTGTTCAAATTGGCAATTTCTGCACAAATTTGCTTATCAATAGCAATGTCGACATTTGGCAGCAAAACACGTTTGAGTCGAAAACATCACACTGCCATTTGCACAAAAACACACAAAGCCAAACGCATCAAAAAGCAATTCTAACAACTTGATTTTTGCACATAAAATATTTTGAATTGTGCGTCATTCCCTTCATCTTTGTTTTGTTGTTGTTTTCGCGACGGAGTGTGTTTTCGGGTTAATTTTTTGTGTGTGTTTTTTCGTTCATTTTTTTCCAATTTGAATAAATACTAACATTCGATCTGTTGGGTATATATTTAGCATGGGTAACAAAT